CAAAACATTACTCAAGGAAATTGACCGTAATGATAAAAAATTATTTTAATTTCGTACTAATCAAATTCCTATTCGTGTCTTCTAGTTCACTTAAATGATTTATTTAGTTGTTGTCCGGTAACAATTTTAAAATTCATCCAGAAATTTTTGCTTTTATTTTTTTTCAAATAGATAAATAATTTTCTTATGGATAGTTTAATAATTTTCAAGTTCAAATTTATTTAAATATAATCAGAAAGGGGTTTTGTGGAGATTTTAGTTATTTTATATTTGAGTTCATGAGTCATTTGAAACTAGACCACCATGGAAAACCTGGAAGCACTAGATCGTGGATGTGCACTGCTGAGGAGTCCCACAATAAGACGAAACGGCCGTCCAGTGCCTCCAGGTTTTCCATGGTGCTCTAGCTTCATTTAGCTCATGAATTCAACTACAAAATTATTTAAATATAGTTCATTTCTAATAATAAGGATAAAAATTTCCTAATGAATTACGAAAAACATCCGTGACTGGATAAACTCAGCCTATTGATTTCACTTGTATTAAGTTTCTTTGGATTTATGTTTTAAAATGATGATATTACGTTATCCTAAACTGAAGATATATTTGTCCCAATCTATTTTTACTGATGACTAGTTTTCAACGTACTTCTTTGATTATTATTGTTTTTATTACGGAAATAAAGTGTAGATTTTTTTGTTTTTGTAAAAAAAGAAAACTTGTAATAATCTTCAATCTACCAATTTAAACACAGTAACATTTATATTATATATCCATAGGCTTAAAAGACAGCTCGACTGATCGATGTTAATATATCGTGAGTTACCCAGTTATGCACAAAATATTTTATAATGAACTGATGAAAATTATTTTTATTTTATTTAAACAATTACCTTTATTATCACTTTTTTCGGCCAATTTCACTTGAATTTAGTTGTTTTCATTTTTATTTACACATTTTCGCAGATTTAATTAAGGGAGAACAATCACAAGAAAATTATTTATATTTTCACTTATTTTTAATTAGTCTTTTGGTGGAGTTTCGTTCTCTGAGCTGGATGGTTTGGTCATGGAGCCTTCATCGTTTTTCTGAACGAGAGCACAGACTTCGGGTAGAAGTGAAGTGTTTGAATTTCTCCACATGCGCTTCACAGCTTTTCCTGTACACCTCCATGTTGATTAGTTCTTGTTGGCCTTGAATTTTTCATTGTTTTGGTTGTATCTCCCATTGGTTTGATTTTTGTTCCTATGTTTCTGAATAATTTTCCTGATTGGTTGATAAATTGAATTGATTTCAATGTGCTTGTTTATTGCTGATTGACATGAGTGTCAAGCTTCTAAAAATTCTCTAGTGTTCTTGGAATTGCATCTATCCAGAATCTCCACATTATTCCAGTCGAATGCGTCCGCAGTTGTCCACGTGAATTGATGTAAGTGAAAACATTCATGGCGTTTGACTGCTAATTGATGTTCATGAAGGCGAAGATGAAGAGGGCGTCCGCTTCGTCCGATGTAGTGTTTAACGCAGTTGGCACAATTTACTTTGTAGATGATGTTTGGTTTGCCTTTCGTCATTTCATCCTTTGGTTTGCATAAAATTGAATGGAGGGATTTTGTTGGTTTGTAATCTAGTACTTAATGAAATTATAGTAATATTGTAGTAGAAGTTAATTTGTGATGACATCGATTCGTCGTGCACTGATCAAAAAGATAAATACCTCAATTATTTTGTTCTATTTTCTTTTTTACAAATTTATCAAACGAAATAAAAAGAATTAATGATTACTTCTGTAAAAAAAACAAAGAAATAGAACTTAATTAATGCTTCAATGAGAAACTTGTTTTTTATTGTTTTACTTCACCTAAAATACCTTTGATTTTGATTATTTCATTATTACTGCAATTATTTTTTGAGCATTTCACTCAGACGTCTTGCACAGTACTGCTTGTTCAATAGAAAGCACCCAGTCATTTACAATTAGTTCACAAATAAGTGTACATGATTCTTATAACTGACTAGTTTTCAAAAGTGGTATTATTTTCTCACCTTGTTATGAAATAACTAGCATATCATCTTAAATGAGATTATGAACATGATCAAGCATCTCTATCCCTTAATTTGTGTCACAAGTTTTATAAAAATGCTTTTCACTAGCTTGCTTTATTTTATTTTCAAGAAATTTGTTATGCAGAGAAATGATATCTAAAAAATCAACTTTTGTTCACTGATTCTCTCCAGCTACTAACTACCTGCTGTAATGTTTTTGAAATTGATTCTTCTGATTTTGACCGGAGTTCTAATTTTGAGTCATTAGGAAAATTATGTATTTCATGTCAAATTCTTCCCATGTATTCTGAATTCTTGATAGTAGTTATAAATGGAATTAATTATCAAATGTTTAAAAGAATGGTAAACTGTTTGTTTTTGCGGGAAAAATATTTGTTAAGCTAATGTGTAGGGAGTGTTTAGGTTCGATGAATGTTTTAAAACCTAACTGAAACAATGTCATTTTCTTTCGAGTTCCATCTTTTATAAAATGACTTATAGTCACTTCAATAATACAACAATGTTAAAATGCTACTTCATTGAACATTAATACGTATTTAATAGTAAGTAGGCAGATCTCTCTGTTGTCAGTTACGTTATTAATTCCAGTGAGATTGCTTTGCTAGCATGTTCATTCATTTGCACGGAGGCTTTGAAAACACAAAAACCAAATTTTCTGTGAAGGTAGTACATTTTTTGACCTGCTTTTCTCAAACATACTCATCAGTGGTATGACTTTTATCATTTTGTTCTTTTATTCGTACCAAGTAATCAATAATTTGTGATTATAGTTCCGTTTGATAGATTTTACCTTTTAAAAATGTTGAAAATTCTGTGTGATGTTTTTCCATCGCTTTGACCAGTTTGTAGATTACCAAGTAATTCCTTTTTACTTTTCTTCATAATTTGTTATGATGACAGCAATCGTACAAATTCTTTTCATAACTGTAACTGCAAACATGTTGTTTGTACAGCCTTGACAAATTATGTTAGTTAAAGAAATTATAGATTACGAAGTGAACTTGCAGGCCACTACCTAATAAACATCCTTTACCTATTTTGGGGGGATTTTATTTTCAATTACTGATATCTGAAAAATAATATACATGCAACTTAATCGACTAGTGAATATCATGGATCATTGAACAACTGATTTATCCTGTTCTGGGTTTATATATGTAAAGAATGATTTATGCAGAATAACATAAATTCATCAAGCTCCCGATAACTGGAACAAATTAAGAACCATAACGTAGACTCTGAAACACTGAACTAAGTAAATAGGCATCTCTTTTATGATTCAGATAGTAAAAATCGTATAGATGATTGGTTTTAAATGTTATTCTTACCACATCAAGTATTTGTAAATATACCAAATATGAATATTTCAAAGTTACTAAAGATCAGATTACCCTTCAACACTAACGATTAATTCTTGTAACATCATATATAACAAGAAAACTTTAAAAAAGACGGTGCAGGCAACATACTGATAGAATAATGTTTATTTAACACTCATTTTATAATACGAAATGTAAGAATTAAATTCCTTCCTAAATTACCAATTCTCTTTATATAATAAACTTGTTTAATTTATCACAATATAGTTTAATCCTTAGCTTCTTAAAATAACCACCAATAAACATTAAATGTAACAGGCAGACGATTTTATATGTTTCTCATCATACATAAGAAAAAACTGCCGAAAAATAAATTAAAATAGGACCTGAATAAATGATTAAAAAGAATAACAAATCTGCCTTAGCAACAAAAGAACTAAATTAATATTATGCAGGAGAGAAAATGATGAGACAAGGTCAACAAGAACTACTTACTAGTAACTTCCAAATACCAGGCTACATCTCAAGGTGATCGTTGTTATTAATCAAAGCATTTCACAAAACTACCCATCTCGATAAATTAAATTTGTAAATTCTATGAAATTAACTATGAAAAAAGTTCACACTTTTTAAAAATGGAAATGACTACTGGATACTTGATCATTATTTATTTTTCTACAGGTACAAGGAAGCGTCTACATTTCAAAAGAACGCGAAATTTGAAGATCAGTTAACTTTGTTCTGTTTTCAAATCAACAACTACACAAATTAACCAAATCTTCTAACCGTAATAGAACTAAGTAACATTTAATTAAACATTTCCTCACTCCGGTTTGGCTTATTGCTTTCTTGAGCTTTGCATTTAAATTGAGTGGTCATTTCACTAAAGAACTATTCTTTAATCTTCTAATCAGTTGATATACAACTAGTTTTCATATTATTGTGGACTACTTATTTGACTGAATTTCCCCCTTTTGTCTTTAAGACTTTATTCATGAAAAAAACATGTAGTAAGTGGTTTTTACCATTTAATGATGATTGTATAATTTGAGCATCCTTATATAATCATAGCATATTTAAATTGCGTTTATATCGTAACAGTGACTTGAGAGGTCCCAGATATTGTAATGCTAGCCTCTTCTTATTTACAAGCAAGTTGCTTGGCGATTATTACATTCGAAAGTCATTACAGGTAGAAAATATTGTGCTCTGAGAACTAATGTTAGGTGATAATCTAATATTGATTTCTTCGGAATATGAGCATCTAGAGTAATAGCATAGAATCCTTGCAAGAAGAATTCAGAAAGATAAACTACTATGATTAGCTAACTTAGCGAAGCTCCATAACATTTGATAAGGTTTCATTTAAAGAGCCAACATTGAAAGGCAGATATACGTAAGAACGTGACTGACCCATCCTGTCATATATTTATAACTTTATAGTCATAAACCTGAACTATGGAAACAAAGAAAATTTAGCTCCGGAATGGCACTTCATAAAATCCTGAATATGGCGTAAGCTGAGAAGTATCAGTGAGTTCGATTATTTTTTGTGACAGGCAATCTGGGATGAATGTAAAGAATGTAGTTAGTTGGCTACAAATTATCCATAATGAACACGTAAATATCATTTTATGACTAACCTTATTCTATTACTACCCTTTGTTGAAATCATTTTGTAAACCGAAGAAGCGTAATCCTACATTGTAGATGATCGAAATGCCGTTGAAGCTCAGTTGATATGTAATAAAGATTCTAGTTATTGAAATTAAACAATAAAGAATGGTCAAAATGCCTTTGCATTGTAAACTGTTTGCAGGACATATTAGCCTAGTTCATTATCTACTTGAAGAGATGATTTTTGTTGTGTTTTTTTTACTGAAAACGAGGGACTTTGAATGTTTTCTGTTCTCTGAGCTGGTTGATTGAATCGTGAAACTTTTATTGCTTCTCCGGACAATGACATAGACGCATACTTTAATGAAAATTGAGCCGTTAAAATTTCCCACAACTGATTAACAGTTCATTTTGTTGAACGTGGCTACAAGTGGCTAAACAACCAACTACGCTCTTAAATCAAACTCAAAGCAGTAATAATAAATGGCATCTTAAACTTTGATAGCGATATTGTCAGCATCAGAAAGTATCCAACCAATTGAAATTTAATAAAGATGAAATTATGAGCTTTTAAAATTACCACAACAGTTTAATATGTTAACTCGATATCTCGTCACTAGATTACAAATAGGTCAATATATAGATAAAATGGAACCGTTTAAATAAATTAATTCCAAATCGTACAACATTATTAATCTTAAGACAATACCTGAAGACTCAAGTAATAACAAAGTTCAAACTCCTAGAATTTTCCCTAAAGTAAATATGCAACGATAAAAAAAATAGTCTGTAAATATTGGTTTTTTGTTGAATCAGTTATAAATATGTGTAATTAATTTACAGATATACGTAATAATAACATAAAACATATCTATCTGGTATTTATGATAGAATAGTGAAAGAGGTAAATGTCACATGTATATACATGTATATATGAGCATATAGATTATGGTAAAAATGATAAGCTTTTTAATTGTTATATTAAGATATCCTGAAAGACATAACAAGTGGTAATGTAATGTGAAATATATGAAAACATTAGTCGTTTGAAAATGTATTTACAAATGTAGATGAGCACTCGTAACTACTAGATGAAGGACAAGTAGAATTTTGATTACTAACATTTTCCCAATCTTGAAGGGCTGCTAGGCATTGATTGACAGAAAATTCAGCATACATTTTAATCCAGTCATAATTATCAATTTCATTTAAAGATACTCTTTGACTTGACAACTTTTTAAGCATCTAAGAATAGAAATTTGAAAGCCACTAACAAATAATTTATTAAGCAGAAAAAACTCATTTGCAAAACACTATAGTAATTTAATTCCCTCGAATATATTAATTGTATGGTGCTTTATCATTAGTATAATCTGACTTCTCACAGCATAAACTCCACTTATAGCCAACACTATATTCCTAGCAAATTATTTTCGATACAATGCCGACAGTATCTTAATATACACAGTAATCAACCAGTAGTTGTAAAGTGATAAATATCAAATACTGTCATTATTAAATGAACTTACACTAGTAATAAGCTTCGTCGCACCCAGATTTAATGTATCTGGATATGAAACATCAGCATATTGGATCTTTTCGGAAATCTCCTGGAACGTTTCACCATCAAAGGGTAAATGACCGGTAAGCATCTCAAAAGTGAGTATTCCCAAGCTCCATATGTCCACCCGATGATCATGAACACACTCCAAATGGAACAATTCGGGAGCCAAGTAATTGAGCGTACCGAAAGTAGTCATACGTCTAATTACTTGTACGAAAAAGAGGAATAAAACCTACCGTGAAGCTGGTAAGTGCACTGCGCTACCAAAATCTGCAATCTTCACTTCACCGCGAACCCCAAGAAGTATATTTTCTGGTTTGATATCTCGATGTATAACATCATTTTGATGACAATAAGAAAGAGCTTTGGAAAGCTGGTATACGTACTGTAAAACATGAACGATGTGCCTTGTTATATACGTAACTAAGGTCGGCTTTATATACATGAACATAAACATTACAAACCTAAGCGTTTAAATATGAAGCAACTTATTCGTCCTATTTGAAGAGATTTTATGATCACAAAATCATCTAAGTGTCATCAAGTGCAGCTTCTTAATATTCGCTTGAACACGAAAATTATGCTTGACCATTCCTTGTTCCGCATGGAGACACTAATTAAGTGTTTCGCATTCTAAAATATTTGTAAAAAGTCATCTCTTATTTGTTAGACTATAGACTGAAAAGTACTATTTCTGTTTCATTATGAAGAATACGGTGATATCTGTCCTCAAGTACCACATGTGGAAGAATGTTAAAAATACCGGTATGGTAGTTATAAATAATAATACCATGTAAAGTTGAAGCTAACGATAATAACGTAAGTAAAAGTGAAACTATAGACTGTATAACACCAAGAAACAGATGCGACTACAATTTTCAAAAAACAAGCCTGAGTTTGTCGACACTACTGGTAAGGGTTTCAAGGCATATGCCAGCATTCTTAAACACAGATTATCGCCTATTTATAAACTGCGATCAGTCTAACGGTGACTGCTGATGTATCTGAAAGGCAAATGATGGTGAGTCTGATGTAACTGTTCACAGACAATCGTTTATTTCGAACAAGTACTAGTTCTAGGCATAAGGAGAGACACCGTCTAACATAGCGATCACCTACACCAAACCAACGATGAACTTAAATAGACCATATTGCCATCGGTCATCGTTGGAGAGGCTCGATAGAAGGTTACCGCTCGTTCTAGATTACATGTTCTGACTCTGACCATGCTTTAATACGAGCACGCATTTACTTGCGCCTCAATGGATACAGGAAAGCCACATTAAGAAGATCTATTACAACTGAACTCAGCAATGAGAAAGCCAAAGGTCAATTCCAGGAGCAGCTGAAGTCACACTTAAGCAATTTCGAAAACGAGACTGACACAGATTTTGCTTGGAAAGATATACGAAGAGCTTCGGAAACAGCAGCGACACCTATTAGTGGAATCCTGCGACATCTTTTGCACTGATAGACACTCGTAAACTTATCCCACCAGGTTCTGAACACGATGAAGAGCAAAAACGTATCAGATCTAAGCTGACCAAAAGTCTGCTGAACGACAGTGAGCAGTGGTGGGCAAGGAAGGCAGATGAGATGGAAAAGGTAGAAGCTGTAAGTAATACATGACAGCTTTTCATACAAATAAGAGAAACCGGAATTAAGAAGTCAAGTATAAGACAATCTTGGGAAAAGACAGCACTCCTATCTGCCCTCAGTCTAGACGCTAAGAACGATTTGAGGAAGCAGTTAAGTTGGCCTTCAGCTACTCTACGGTTGACCACTATTTCTAAACGGCCTGGATGGAACATTGAAATAGGCTCTTTAAACCTAATTGTAGTCCAAAGGGTTATAGCTAATCTGAAACGAAGAGCAGCTGGTCCAGATGGATCGGCTCCAGAGGTCTTTAAATATGGTGGTCCAATTTTAGCACTTTAGTTGATTAATATTCTGGCTAAAATCTGGGAGTTGGACGTAATCCCATCTGACAGGTCACAATCTCTGATTGTCCCAATATATAAGAAGGAATCGAAATCATCCTATATAATCATAGAAGGATTAGTTTGACTAATATAGCATCTAAAATACTAGCCTCAATAATTATTTGGCGCCTAATAAAGAATCGTGAACTTCAAACACAAGGAAGTCAGACTGGCTTTAGACCTGGTCGTGGCTGTATCGAGCACATATTCACTATTCGTCAGGTTTTAGGACACAGGCATGCTTATCGGCGTCAGACAATGATAGTTTTTCTTGACTTAAAAGCAACATTTGACTCTGTAGACCGAGAGGTTCTGTGGTAGTGTCTGTCATTGAAAGGTGTACCTCAGAAGCATATAAACCTTGTGAAGGCTCTTTACCAGTCGAGTGAGAGCTCATGGCGAACTATCACCTGATTTTACAACCTAATGTGATATCCGACGAGGCTGTCCCCTATCCCCATTTCTGCTTAACTTCATTATAGACCTACTGCTCGAAATAACACTCTTGTCGATTGAATTTTCGGGCATTGATCTCCTACCAGGAGGTCCACTTATCGACTTAGAATATACAGATGACATAGTCCTGTTTGTTGAAGACACTAAAAAAATGCCGAGTCTTTTGGTAGCACTGAGTAACAATGCAATGATGTTTGGAATGCGTTTCTCCCCTCTAAATGCAAGTTGTTGCTCCAGGACTGGCCTGCTTCAACACCTGAACTAAGGATAGGGAGCGAAGTAGTCGAACGCGTCGACAGCTTCACTTATCTTGGAAGTCCGATCAGTCCTAATGGGTTAGTATCTGACGAAATCTCTACACGGACTCTAAAGGCTAATTTGGCTTTTGCTAACTTACGTCACCTGTGGCTAAGGCCAGATGTCCGTCTATCAATTAAGAGACGAGTATGCTGCACAGCAGTTCGTTCTGTTCTACTTTACGGCTGCAAAACGTGACCATTAAGAGTAGATATTCCTAAGTTGCTAGTATTTGACCACAGATGTCTTAGAAGTGTTGTTCACATTTGATGGGATTAACGGGTAAGTATTAGTGAGGTTAGATACAGGGTATTAGGGAATGATAGTAAATCAGTTGATTTCGTTGTCAATCTTCATCGACTGAGATGGTTGGGCCACGTGTTACGTATGCCTGAACACTGATTACCACGAAGCGCAATGCTGACTAGTATTGGGGATGGTTGGAAGACAGTTAGGGGCGGCCAAACCAAAACAAGGCATTAGTGCTTGAAGTCACTAACTTTTAGTCTGAGCCATGTTGGTAGATGCAGACTACCTGGTTGGGATCCGCGTGACTATCGTAACCAATGGTTGGAGACTCTGTGTGACATGGCTCAGAATCGATCACAATGGCGTAGATGTATACACTCTTTATCTCCCCTTAAACCGTGAGATTACTTTATACCTTTCTTTCTACGAACCAATTCTTTCTTCCCGTATCATATCCTTATATGCAATCTTGTTTTATACATTATCATTGAAGTAACTGCTTCTATGGATCTGGTTTTCATCTTGCTGTGCTAATAAGGTAAGGTAACTTGGACCGATGGATGGATGTGCCTGGTTCTACTTTGTAGATTACTGAGCTAAAAGACATATCGAAATGAACAATGTAACGCTTAGTATAAATGTAAACCTATCTAGTCTGTCACATTTCACACCAGAAAATTGGGATGAAATCAATAAGAGAAAAAATAAAGATAGGATAAACAATCCTGATTGTTTAGTGCGTCTAGAACTCCTTTGTAACGAGCGAAGTCTTGAGTAGTAAACCAACTTATTGTATTATGCAAAATCATCCTCTGTATTTGTAAAATATGGAAACAATACACTAAATACACTTTTTGCCCATCTTCCTTGAGTTAACCTTTACAAACTCCATTGTTCTATTATTCCTGTTGTTACTTTGGTCGCTTTATAGTTTTCTTCCGCTTCTCTTCATTTCTCTCTTTTGTCCATGGGACTTTTTCCAATTACTGGTACAGACTACTAATATCTGTCCGTACACTAAACGCTTATCATTTAATCCTTCCATATTTTGAGTACAAAAGCTTTAAAAGTCCCGTTATTGTGATGAACTGCATGTTACTATATGGCAATTAAGTTGATTCTCACTTATAAGAAAGAAGAAAATTATTATTTATCATAATGGCTTACACTCAGAGTTCGTTATTTCTTGCTACGATTCATAAAACCCAGAAGCAACATGAAGTGTAATCTCATTGCAAAAGATAAACAGTACATGCAGAGTCATTCTAAGCGGGCCTGAATTGCTCAAATGCAAGATGAAAGAATACCTTTAGTCAATGTGCATGCACGTACAACTCTATGCGTAGATATCTGGAATCTAATATTATCTGACATTAATTTTCTTGCTCTCTCATTAACTTCACGTCTCGCTATTGAGAAATAAGAAGGGATTTCGAATAAATATATGCTTGGGTATATAATATAAACTGACACATCTGTACTTAAGATACCTTACATATTCTTAATTCGACAGTACTTAGGTTAGGCCTAATCATGACTTCATAACACGAAGCCGATTAACCTTTTCAAAACTAAACATCAAAAGGCATCAAGAGACACAACTCGAATTTTACAATACGAAAAAATCGCTTAGGAAGTATTGTCAGTTTTAAGTGATGGGAATTTTTCCGCTTATCACTGAATATACTGTTATATATATATATATATATATATATATATATATATATATATATAACAGTAAGTGCATTTAGTATTAATAAACTTACAGTCGCTGCTCGACTATCTCCGAAATGACCAAAACGATTGATCTCTTTAGATAATTCCCCTCTAGGTACATACTCAAGGACCAAATAAATACGCTTTGTATCATAAAAATAACTGTACATACGAACAATATTTGGATGTCTAGAATTATTATGTGGAACATGAAGACGCCTACTTTAGGTGTGACTGTATTTCTATTTCTCGTTGCACTTGTTTCATCAGTTCTTTTGTTACTAATCTAGGCTTCAGAAGTATCTAGGAAATTGGGTTTTCAAAATTGAATAAAAACCTTCAGAGCAATGACAAATCGACTAGCTTTTTCCCTCGCAAGATGGACTGAACCGAAACGACCTTCGCCGAGTTTCCTCCCAATATCTAAGTCGTCAATAGTCCACTTGGATTTTCGTTTCCTGGGGGAACATAAGCCCTATGGAACATTTGAAAATACTTACTTGTGGAAATCTGCAGAGGAGTTCACGAACGACCTAGAGACATTATTTCCAGTATCATAAACATTTGATGGAGATGAACAACGTGGATGACTTGGATCACTATGTGAAGGCAACATAATAAACTTTAACCCTCAGTGGCTTTGTGTTTAACCTGAAGGTACGATGTGGGAGGGGCAGTGCGTGTAAGAGGATCTGGAAATAAAGTAAGTATAAGTGAATGAATGACTGTGTGCAAAAATGATGAACTTACGTTTATCAAGAATATCAGCTGATAAAAATCAGGAGTAAAACGTATTTAAAATTAAGAGAACCTGGTAATTGAAACTAAGCGCTGATTGAGTTTGGTCCCGAGTGCGTTACAACATGTCAAATCATAGAGCCGCCAGGGTGTTTCGGCCTTCGGAAAGCGTCAAGGTAGCTAAGAGGACCTATTATAAACTTTCAAATGGTTGTAAAGGGAATGAAAAAATTACCTCGCTCCCTAAACGTCTATGTAGATCTATGTTCTTTTCATTTAAGAGGACCTGAGTATCTTAAAAGAAGTCAAGAAGAAAAACGACTCTGAGTAGATCAATATTAGGTGGTGCTCCGAGTTGTCAGTAATGTATCATGTTTTCTCCTAAAGGACGTATGAAAAGTTTCCAAAACTTGAAGTCGAGTAAGATTCCCCTAAAGTGATAACCTAAATTTCTAGTTATGGATGGCTGCTAAGTTTCCTGCTGGACATTCGTTGTAGCCAAAAAATGGTAGTTAAGTTTTAATATCTCTTTGCTTGCCAAGTTATCCTGAAAATGGATGACTGAGAACCAAGGTGATATCAGTTGGTGGTATTCTACTGGAAACCAAAACGTAATCGGATACAATACCAATTTCGATCTGCAGTCCCCAAATAGCAAATAATGTTAACTTATCAATAAAAGTCGGTATACCTCTCAATGAATATTTGTCGAGGGGGATCAATCAATAACTCATTCGCATACTTATTTTTTACAACCATATATTTGAGCAAGTTTTACATCCAATTACCCATATATAAAAGTGTTTACGTTGAATTAATGATGAATTCAATAGTGATTTGCCATATATTTACTACTGCACTGACAACAATCCAATATTGCTCAGTAATATTTGAGATTTTGGGGCCGAATGAACTCAATTTAACTAGGCCAAACAAATTTCACTGAGCTGACTCCACTATTAGCCTTACATTTTAAAAATGACTGATAAATCTGACATCAAAACTGAATGTTGAGATTATCGAATGTTAGTAAGAATAGAACTCCGACTGTGGCTCTTCTAGAGTTACTGCCGGTCCCAAGCATAAGTGAAGGAGGAGTTTCGAGCATAAGGTTAGCGACCCTATCCCGTAGAAAAATTAACTTACTAAAATGACGCCAACCAGAAAAAATAATTCAAACCATTTAAATTCTGCCCTGGGTGTTGAGGGAATAAATATGACGCCTCATGATGAAAGCGGAAATTTTTCGAAAGTCACGAGGCCGGTGCACATTCTAACAACCAGAGAACACTCTTTATAGGTTGAGCGGCCTATGCCTCCCCGCGAGGGGTAACAGGCGTATGTAAGTAAGAAAGAATAGACATCGTTAGGTTTGGTAACTGGTGCGTTCAATTAAACCCAGAAATGAAGACAGATATCCTGGTTCCGATTCACATAAACTAGCCGAACAGTCCAAGGAAATATGCCTTCGAAGACAGATAGATGAAAGAAGAAAAATATTACAACTTTAGATCTACTTAGGTCAACCTTCGTCTTACTACGGGGTTTATAATAATCATTTCCAAACCCACAGGTGACACGGAAAACTAAAATCAGAGCTGTTGCAATACATCAGGTTTGTAGAATCGAAGACTATTGTTGCGACGTTACACGCCTGATATAATCATAATTTTGTACACCTGTTATTACTTTCGAATGCCACATTATTTTCATGTGATTTCCGTTGGTTGTGATGCATTATGTAAATGATTAAGTTTACAGGTACATTTGTCTTCTTTAGAGATGAAATTCACTATATCCTTTTGTAACCCATCTACATTTGTATTTGTGCATTAATATTCCACAGAGGGCTTCTGTAGGAACTTATATCAGATTAAGTACACTGTTTCAGTTTTGTGCTAAAGCTTGTTGTTTAACGGAGTTTCGTATAATCTTTCTTCTTTTAATGTCTTTCGTATTAAGGTCGCCCAAGACCCTTGCTACAAATGACTTCTAATCGTGCAACAAGGAGATCACTACGGTTTAATTAACTCAGATGGAGTGTCTATCTGAAATTGTTAGTGATGATGAAGTCCATGACTGATGGCACGTTGCCGCTTCTCCATTGACTATCTAGCCTAAACTGTTTGAATGGTCACCAATACATGAGTTTCAATAGATAAGCTTGAGTGATGTATAAATCTCCCCAGTATTTGAAATATGGCTATGATTTGTCTGTCCACTAATCCGTACTTATTGAACAAAGTAAGATATTCTTGAACTAGTTTACCACTTCGATGTCTATGGTTTTTTAGTGCGATCTTAAAACTTGTATTGCATGAGATTAACTTCTGATTAAGTAAAATCAAGTCAGAGCGGGAAAGAGCTATCCCATTACTGACCTGTGGTCTACTTGCTTGACATACGAGGAGTGGAGATGATTCAGCTGAAACGGGGAATCAGATCTATTACCGATTCAGTCTAATAAAAGTTTATAGTTATATAAATAACAGGATCAACAAATCGCTCACCTTGTTTTACAATATTTCTCCATTCTTCATACCAGCATATAACCACTAAACTGCAAACGAATAAAATCCGAGTATGTTCTTATTTGAAAGGACGACTCAATCCGGTAAACTAGTCATGCCTGCAGCAGATCTGTGAAAATGTCTTATATAAATCACCTACTTTTGTGTCGTTTGACAGTCTTGCTGGGTGCAAGGTAGATTCATTAAGAAAAGTGGTGAAACCAGATGGTCAGGCATTATGCAGCAATGAGATTCTATCGAGTGGGAAATAATAACCTGGGTCAATTAATAAAGGCAGAAGAATGAAAAATAAAAAAATAAGTTCACAAAAAACCTCAATATGAGTTGATGCGTAAAACGAAGAGAAAAATACACGAGATAATATTACTGCCAATAGCACACTATATGGGATATTTCAAACCATTCGTTCTATTGCATCCGCATCTTCATAAACACTTGGATTATTTTCAAGGTAACAAGCTTCAAACTAAGAACATCACTATTAAGAGGCCTACTTAGGCAATCCGTTTAATAGTCCATAATTATGCTGCGGTTGTAATGGTACTTTGTAACGGTTTAAATAATATAATCTTGCTACGAAGTCAAACCATTCATTGACCACTTAGGCTAGCCAGCTGAAACCCGGCAGTCAGACCATCACTTCTTCTATAATCCCCTAAAGGATCAGATCAACTTTTCAGAGAAACATTATTCGGACTGTAGAGGCAGCAAAAGATCGTCGAAAATTATGTAACAACTCTCAGGGCTTTAAACTCATTATGAACACTTGTTTACAATCAATTAAGTAACTGGTTCTATTATGGTGTTTTCTGAGGGACGTCTATCAGAACGGCATTTAATAATATCTCTTCTGTCTGAATTTACAGGGTAAGTGAAGATACCCCCACATCAGAAGACCGACTTATTGATATGGTAGTTTCTTCTTTAAAATCATGGAATTCGACAGCGACCAGCGTTAACTACTTAGGTGAATAAATCTTAAAATCAGCGTATATTCCATACCAGTTCTACATTGTCACCGTTATACATTCTTCCATTTATATTGCAAAATATAGTGCCTAGCGGGACGCTCATCTAGTGCTTACAATCCCAAGACGAAGGTGCGAAAGTTTAACCATGGATTCAGAGTGCAACGACCTCAGAAGTCATTAAGAACTGAGCAGACTTCCAATCAGTATACTTAAGTTAAACGGCTAAACAACTGTGACTGGCTGTAGTGAATTCGGTTAATGAATGATCAACATAAATAAATCTATTATAGTAACTAAAATAACTCATAATGTCATTGAATAAGAAAAAGAGAATTCAGCGAAGAAAGTAAATGATTTCGTCGAAAGAAAATTTTCTTCGCTGAATTCTCTTTTTCTATTATGGTAATTATAATTCTGGAACCTCGTGAAGGAGGCATTTCGAGGTTCGTAAGCAAGTGGTTCCGAACGATCTAATCCATTCACGTCTTGTTTTGGTTTTCTGCTTGTAGATAGAATCAACTCGCCACCATGCTAACGAAATTAGAAACTGCATTGAAAGCTGATTTGTGTTTGCCAAAAAGAAGTACTATCTTAAATCCTGTAAAAAAGAGAACGCGGAAGCCAAGTTTATTGAATACTGCTTTGTCTAAAACTCATATTAGGCTTGTCACTCTTTGTTGGTTATCTTCGTGTTAAACTAGTCACCGGTGTTGAATGAATAATATTATTAAAGTTCCTGAGTACCTGTTCACAGACGTATAGGTTAGTGTTAATGATTTCGACAATTAAACGGGATGGTATGCGTTTAAATTAAACAGAAGCACCGCTAGATTCAGGATAACCTCTACACGTTGCCGAAAGAAGCCATGAATCATGGAGCCTGGGTTCAGGATACCCCAAGTATTATCTTTAACGAACTAACACTTTCAGGTTCCACTAATTTTGAGATATGAAAAATGTGAAAGTAATCAAAGATTATTTTTTCGAAGGAATTTGGGTAATGGTCAGTCGTTTGCACATCTCCGGACTTGATGTCAGCTATAGTTCATTTTACAAGACGTTTCTACTCTGTAATGCCTAAAATACTGTGAATCAGGAATAGCTCTGTTATTTCACCGTAGACATAACATAGTATTATACAGAAACAGAGCACGAGAAACGGAAATCTTTTGTGTTAAGTGTATCCTCACGTTTACACAGCATTATTACATCATTCGAAAATGTTAACGGAGTACATTATTTCCGAGGCTCGTTATAATAAACATTGGTGTTCCTTGTGTTGTAATACTCAGATCTATCGTTGTTTTGTTATCTTGTAGTGAACGCACACTCATGTGGGGAGAACCAATTTATTGTTTAACACAAAATTGAAGGATGTCTTCTAAACAACATATCAAGCAATTCATTCACGCATCTGCAATCAATTGTTTCTTACAGAATTCATCGTTCATTTATTCTTGTTATTACGATTACTTTGCATTTAAATTTCTCTTCTCTTCAACTTGACCTTCCAAACTTTCTGTTGCCAAGCGTTCCAATTGTCGTTGTTGTTACATGCTACATATGTCTGTCGACATAAGTGGCACACACTACACAATGTGACCCAATATCTTCTAACTTGCATGCGGTGCCAACTAATGGAAAGTCATCGATAAATACAGCCTCCTTTAAGGTCTGACCCAGTGACCGCAGTTAGTCGGTAGATGTAACGAGACCGTTCCTACAGACAGCGAGTAATAAACAGTACCTGCTAGTGATGGCCGAACATCCTACAAGTTGGGTGGATGCTGTGCCTATTGTAAGCAAGAAGGCAAGAACAGTGAATGACGCATTGATTCGTCACTCTGTGGCAGGTCACGAAATGTCGAAGATAGCATTAACCGACCTGAGTCCTTTCTACAAAAGCGATGAGTTTAAAGTCCTGCCAGAGCAATTTGGTATCAGGAGAACACGAACTACTAAAAAATTAACTTTTCTGCTGATGCGCCGTAGACAGCTGACACTTCTATGCATAATAAGACCTATACACAACAATAGTGGGGGACGTCAGCAAGGCTGGGAAAAGAAAGGAGGGATGCAATCAGGAAGATGGGAGCGAAACAGTTATCAGACACAAAGAAGGCGGAACAAGAAAGAAGGAAGTAGAAGTTTTTTGCGGTGGGGTACCTAGTAAAGTGTCGAAAACGGAAATATATCATGCCAGAGGAACCACGATCAAGGAAGCTGAGTCGTAATTAGTATGGACCGTACAAAGTCACTGAGAGACGTGGCGTAGTTTACACGAAATGAAAAGACGATGACCAGAAGTGCGTAAACACTAGTCAGCTGCAAACAGATTCAATGATATCAAGAGGGAGAGAACTGAACTGGAACGAAGAAAACAGTGGCACGGCATTTCAGGTGACTGCGAGAACGGCTTATTAGAGAGAGGAAAAGTGTGGTTTATGCTGCTTATGTCGTCAGATATAAGTAACTTAAAACAGTGAGCATGAGTGAAACGCATGTAGGGAGAAAATTGAAAACAGTAGAATGAAGATAAACGAAAAGGAAACAAGGAAATGATTAAAACGATGAAAAAACAACTGATAGCAGTTGCGCAAATAAAGGAGACTCTGTATGATTATCATAATCTAAGACGAAACTATAAAAATATGCATCAAACAATAAATTGGTCATCCCCTTCACTGAAATCTCAAGAGGTCATTTTACGGAAGCTTTAGTATCTTTGCAAAAAACATTGCTCACGATATAAGAAAATTACCTATGACTCATCAGAAACGATTGAAGACGTTGGTCTTCGTTGAGGTTGACTGGCTTTGTGACGAAAATTAACCGATTTATAAACAACGATTGCAAGTCTTAAGGGAATAATTAGTAGAACAAAAGATGGTAAACAGCTACGACGCATTTTAACTCGTAATTGGTCTCTTTGGTTACAAAGGGTTGTTACAAATTTCCTATTTTATCGCCCGATATCATGGACAGGGTATGACACTCGATCAGGATCAAAACGCAGAGAACCAGCTTAGGTTTTTCTTCGAAGATTTGTTATAATGACGTTTGTCCAAACAATTAAAAAAATGGACTCGAGTTAGTGATCTCATGAAAACGTTTGGTTATAGCATAGACGCCTATTTAATTACCACACTAAGTAGTAAAATGACAGTATGAATAGAAAGAGAATTTATTGGGGAATGTCAACTAGATTGTTGTTTTTCTGTGAAAGACCATTGCCTAAAAAGACTCATGATAATTTAGCGCTGAAACCCATCAATATCGCTGACAATATTGCATATTAATGTGTATGTCTCCTTACTTACTTACGCCTGTAACCCCTTGTGGTAAAGCAAACGCCGCCCACCAGCATTCTCTATCTAACTCTGTCCTGGGCAATCCTTTCCAGTTCTTTACAGTTACTATTCATCCTTTTCATGTCTGCTTCCAAGTCTCGATGCATTGTGTTTTTGGTCTTCCTATTTTCCGTTTTTCTTAAGGACTCCAAATTAGCGCTTGTCTCATGATGCAGTTTGGTGATTTCCTCAATGTACGTCCTATCCACTTCCACCGTTTTTTTCTGACTTCCTTTTCATCTGGAATCTGGCTTGTTTTCGCCTACAGTAGGTTGTTGCTGATGGTCTCTGACCAACGGACATTGAAGGTCTTGCTCAGACAACTGTTTATTAATACTTGTACACTTTTGGTGATGACTGTAGTAGTTCTCCATGTTTCACATCCGTACAACAGAACCGTCTTGACGTTCGTATTGAAGATTCCGACTTTCATGTTTGTGGACAGTTGTTTTGAGTGCCCTGTGTTCCCCAACTGTAGAAATGCTTCCCTTGCATTGCCAATCCTTGCCTTTACGTCTGCATCTGATCCTTTTTGTTTATCGGCGATGCTTCCCAGGTGCGTGAAATTTTCCACCTCTTCCAGAACCTATCTATCCAATGTAATTGGGTTGGTGTTCTCCGTGTTGTATTTGAGGTTCTTTCATCTTCCCTTGTGTATGTTGAGGCCTGCTGAATCGGGGGCTGTTGCTACACTGGCTGTCTTCATCTGCATTTTTGGTGTGTGTGGAAGAGCCATATCATCTGCCAAGTCCGAGTCGTCTAGTTTCATTCAACCTATCCGCTGTGTTCCGTGCTTACCCCCAGATGTGGAGGTCTTCATAATCCAGCCGACAACCAGAAGAAAAAGAAAAGTAGAGAGTAAGCATACCTCTCTGTTGCCAGTCCTTACTCGGAATGAGCCTGTCAACTGTCCTCCATGCAGTGTAGTTCGTCGTGCGAGTTCCGGATGATGTTGGCGATTTTCTCGGCTACTCACTCAATAGTGTCGAAGAAGGTTCCATACTGTCTCCTATTCACACTGTCAAACGCTTTCTCATAGTCAATGAAGTTAATGTATAGTGATGAGTTCCATTCAGCTGATTGTTCAACGATGATCCGTAGTGTTGCGATTCAGTCTGTGCACGACCGGTCCTTATGGAATCTATACTGTTGATCCCGAAGCTAATCGTCTACTGAACTTTTCATTCGGTTCAGCAACACTCTGTTGAGAGTGTTTCCTGGTACAGATAGTAGTGTGATGTTTCTGTGGTTCCCTTATGTACCGAGATCTCCATCCCTTGGTATCTTGATGAGGTATTTCTTCCCCAATCTGTCGTCACTTGCTCCTCCTCGTTCCAAATATTCTTAAATGGAACGTGAAGCATGTGTGCAGTTACTTTTACGTATTACTTCAGTGGTTCAGAGTCTGCTAGAACTGATTGGTTGGTGAGAATCGACATTTTACATGAGGTCAAATTTTAGTTCTTCTGAAATATTGCCATGACATTTATTGGGAAAACCACTAGTAATTAGTGAGTCACAATGAACCTGATTTTCGGTCAATGGCAGGCTGACTTTGATTCGATTTTTGTTTACCTCAAGTAAAATGTCGATCCTTACCATCAGGTCAGTTCTAGCAGATTCTCTATCGAATGCAGGAAAATTGTTATAAACAAAATCACGTTAAACGTAAATTGCGAATATGAGGATCCAACGCCCTTTCGTGGGGAGGATAAATTCGGGAAATTTAAGATCCGGATATGAACTCCAGATCTCTCAAAAAAGGGAGGTGTTATATCTCGAAGCGCTTTATGAATGGTAACTTTGAGAACTATTTATTGACCAATATGATATTTATATTTCCTATTGTGTAATTGTTAAATTACTATAACATTCATATTAATGTTCCCTTTATTATGAGCTTTATTTTGACCCATAGACTATTACTTTACGATTTACCATTCCTGAGTTATACCCAGTCTATTAATTACTGTTCCCCCTATTCACAGCCACACTTTGTCAAATCTTGTACAAATGTTGGTTTCTATTTTATGGTACGATGTGGTCTGTTTGTTAGGTATATAAACCCAGTATGTTTGAGAATAATAATTCATATTGAAGAGACTGTTGTTGACGTTCTGGACTTAACTGGCTTTTCTAGGCAGAAAGCAGGACTGATAAGTACTCAAGAATGCTCATACGGCTTTTGTAAATCATTGGGCGATCAATAAATCCACTCCTCTCCGATTGGCAACATCGTCACATCATATATTAACTGGACACGTACGCACTCACTCGATATAACACTAGTACTTCACGTTTCAACCAAACTTCTGCTAAGAAATGTGATAGCTGCTGGTATACAGAAATACTAATGCCCTGAGACAAACGCATTCACTCAATTCACAAGATCTACAAATCCACAAATAACCACAGTTCGGACTAGGATTAGTGCATTTAAGTGTCTAGACCACCACACATTGAACATTAAGAAATACTCGTAACCGTAATGAAACATCGAGAATTTAGCACAAATTGCCAATCGGTTCATACATCATCGTGACAAAGATATTAGATATTGGGAGCACGGAGTAACATATACATCTGGCGGGAAAACAAACTTCGGATTCATTACCGCGTTGTATCATAATAATGTATATACCCAGAAAACAACCACAGACAGACACTCTTGATGAAGCTAAACTTACAAACATAAGAAGCATTTCCGAAAAGCATGCTAAAGTTAATCTGATAGGTGTGATTATTCAAAAACTGCCTGTTAAACGATGCTCAACTAATCTCTTGGGTTCGAATAGTCAAGCTGTATTAGGATTCACTCTTAGAGATAGCACATATGACTGGATTAACGGAAGCTACTGGGGTACATTTTCGAATGTCAATTATGTGGCATCCCAATTTAACATTGGTTAGTATGCGAATTCCGATTACTTTCTTCGAAAGGCGATTGCGTAATTGTGCTTAATGCCAGGTTAAAGTCCAAAGAAAGAAACTCTTATGAAGAACGTTTTATGGTTCAAACACCCTCAAACTATCATTTGCTTTTGAGGGATGGGAGTGGAAATATTACACAATATGCATTTCCTGATAAGTTATACATAAGCCGCCTAAAAGTTAGTGATTTCCGATTAAAATATAAACCTTATTTACCGGTCAACAGATATATTTTTGGTTAGGAGTAAAAATATGTGAGGCTAATGCTGAGGGAAAATCTTAACCGTATTCGGCTTCCGTATCTTAGGATAACAAAATATGTTTTAAGAAATTGCTATTACTCGTCAAAAGGTTCAATTTCTGTTCAGTGTTGACTACAAAAGGTTTAAGTCAGACATCTTCTAGTGAAAGATTTGCAAATTATTAGGCCATCGTTGAGATCTGTTCAGCTTTCGTTTCAGAAATGTATGACCTTTACAGTAGAAAAATGTTAACTTTAACAACATTATGAACAGACAAATTTTAACGATGCGTGTTGTTAAGCCATCAAATGTCTAACATATTAGGATATCAACGTTTACACAGCATTAGTCACGAAGTAAATCGATATCAACCATGACAGACGAAATATATATGCAAGGAGACAATATGTTAAATGTATGACGACTGATTTGACTAAAAGAGGGTGTACATGCAATGAGCTTGGTGTAGACGAAGTGTGCGTCTAATTTTTTAGCCTTGAATTGCTTTGCTTTACTAGAGTTGGCAGAATGTAATGTACCGTAATATCTCATTTTACTAAGTAGCATCTGTCACCGATTAATATTGCTCCTCAGCTATTATTTTCACATCTCATAAACATATCCTAATTTTCATCATCTAGACTAACATATTGGTTTAATGTTTGACTAATGGTTTTTATTTTATACAGTAAGCTAACCAACATGGTACAGATAATAGTCAAAACTTCAGTTGATCATGAAATGCACTATGGGCTTGACAGGATCTCCTTTGTTGTCATCTAAATTTCTTAGGAAGTACTGGACTATTAGCAGCCAGGGTAACTATAAGTTAATAATCTCCAAGCAGTGCAATGATTGCTGAATTTTTAGAGTAAGAAACAAACACAACCATCACTATTTTTTCAGAATGTAATTTTATATTGCATTTGAATTAATTCGTTTCATCAAACGCTAAGACCGCATATACCGTTTTTACCTAATGACTCTTGCCACAAAAGTCATCGTTAGTGTGCTCAGCGGCTTATCACAGATCTCTACATCAAGTAATACAGGCGATCTACTCCAAAAGATTGTCAAACAACCAAAACCACTTCGGCTGGAAAATATATGATTCCTCTTTAGAGTTTACATTCTTTGCAGTTGTTTCAGAAGTAAAGCACCCAAAAACCTTGATAATGTCTCAAAAAAAACCAAAGTGTGAGGAAGACGGGGATTTTACAATACAAAATGGGAGTCTGACTAGCAAATCCAAGTCAATTCAGTCGATTGAAGCAGTTCAAACGGTACTTCAGCTGTGTGAAGTTATGCTTTTTGATGATTCATGTAGCTGTCTTCCGCTAATCTTTTGGAATGAAGACTGGATCCACATGGCATTAACAGCTTTTATACCATATGTAAGCCTCCAGCCATCTTAATGGTATTCTTTATTATTATTATGGAAATTGTAATCATTCAGGTAGAAAATTTATCATGATAACAAAACCTAGAGGACATTGGCAGCTGTATGACGATCTATTAAATCATGGGAATTTCTTTAGTATATCATATATGTTCATTAGAGATTTCTGGTTGTTAACACTAGCTAGTGGGAATGGATTATGACGGTCTTTTTAAATACGAAAAACCTGTAGGAGCCACTAAAATAATTACTTTGAATTTACTGTAATATTTTTCCAACTTTATCTAAAATGGAACCCAGCATCATTTATAAAGTCTGCCGGTAACTGAGCAACATTGTAGTAACAAATTGAAGGTAACAACAATCATCATGTCACTTGTCGTCTTTTGTAGTCTGTTTTCTATTTCTCCATGGCAGTTTAACCAAGCTTAACTGCTTTAGATATAAATGAAACAAACAGTTAAAACCCAATTTAAGTTAACCCACACACGGGAGTAAAATATGAAGAAGTCTTTAAAATGTTACAAAAAATCTTTTCCACTAAGTCAGATAGTGTTTTAAGGACCATTTTGGCAGTAATTAGTAGATTTTTCTTCAAAACCATTGCATTTTATGAATAAATCCGAGATTTTACTAAATAAATGAGCCTACAGGCTGTAGAATGGCTTTACAACAGAGAGACCTAGGTTAATACATCTTCTGAAGTCCCCATATACACATATAGTGAAGTTGATAAACTCACTCAAATAAATTCTATCTGAGATACTGAACTGATAGTGAAACTCAGGTGCCAAATCCACGTGACTGATATGTCAGTTGATCATACCTCATAAGCCTACGTGCATGTGCTTCAAAACTAATAATTTCTTCCCGATCTTGATGCATTCAATGAAGTGTGAGCTCAAAGCTGCCCGTTTATTTTGATATTAAAACACTATGTTTTTACTCGAATCTTATTTCAGTCTACCGTTTTATCGATTGTGAACTGTCCAGTTCGTTACGATCGTTACCGCAAAGGTGTGGTTGCCTCTCCAAACTCAAAAACCCTAATTATTATCTCACCTGACTGTGCTGAGGCCAATCGTTTAAATCAACACTCTAAACATCGGACTCAAAGCATGAATATTTTGGAAAGCGGCCATACTTCTTTTGCTGTTGAGAATGTGGATGACAGACTATTACAACCTTTACCGATAGGATATAAAACAGCCCAACCAGAGGTCCGGAATTTTAAAAATAGTCTTTTAAATATCATTTATTATTACAGTGCTTTAAAGTTAGTAATTATCTTTGTGATTTAGTGAACTGAATGACAACTAATATGTAAACTCTATCTCGTCCAATTCATTCATTTGTGTTTGGAGATTTACAAATGCTTAAGATAAAGATTTATCACTCATTTCGATTAAAATGAAGGTTTCGGGATAAACAGTGTCAAGGTTTTGTGTTCATTCTAGGTTATACTAGTAACACTATCCTTTGATAAGCAAGTTGTTTTAGATACCAAGCATTTTAAAGCTTATTATGTCTCACAGTGACATAATTGAGATGTAAATCTCTGCAAGTGATATTAGTATTTAATATGCTGTCTACTGTCATTTATTTTAGACACTATATGACTAGTATTTTTGCCACTTGAGTAATATTACAGACACAAGTGATTAATCACAACCTTTGGTTCTGTGTCTCTGATCTACGGAATAATAGCCCACAACTTACTTAAGGGCAAGTTAAGGCATGGTTCCAATTACTTTGTATTAATGTAAGAGCTGAAAAATTACTATTGAAAGTATTCCTGTGAACAATGACGATGCGTCGTTGGCAGTGAGAAGATGACTGATTTCCTCATTCTTCATGTTTGCCCTTTATCAATAGTGTAGTGGGTTCAAAATTTTTACTTTAAAGCCTACGGTAAACTTAAGTAGTCAGAAAGAAGAGCGATTTCCAAAACTTGCTTCCTGGCATCAATTAAGTGGTTTTGTTAAAGTTTTGAACAGATTGATTTTGAAGTTCACTTATTTGGTAACTAAATCAATACTTTACTCTAGTTTGTACTCTGAAGAACTATATTCCGATGACTGATCATAGATAAGCAAACAATTAACTTGTATGTTTCGATGCCTGGGCGTACTTTCTACTGGAACGAATTAGAATTCGAGTAGTTGTTTAATGTTTGGATCACTAAATCTGCAGTTAAATATGAGTGAGATTTTTCACGGTTATGATAATTTAAGACCCAAGATTAGTACAGATCAGAAGTGGAGGAGTTAACGGTTTCTACATATATTTTAAAGCCTGCAACAATATTGTACACTGCAACTAAAATGTATCTGTTAGACTCCTAACGATTTATGGTAATCGTGGTACTGGTTTGTACTCAACCTGAATTGAATAATTAGAGATCTATAATTACATCTAACAACTAGAGCTATTTTATACAGTTTAAGTTAAGTAGGCAATAAAGTAACAGGATATTTGAACCAGTGTTTGATAATTCATAAAAATAAATACTTCAGTGGGCATCATCAAAAAATGTTGACTCACCAATAAACATAGTGAAAAGCCACTTATGGTGTTAGATCTCGTAAACATCTCTCAATAAGCCTTAATGTCTTTTGGATTTAAACTACAGAACTCAAATCAACTTTACTCTGTATGAGAATTTGTTTTGGACTCATCTACGTAGATTTGTATTCTCAAAAGCCCAGAAATTAGTAGTTACTTTATTTGGTTTCTAGAGGAGTTGAGGTTATAGAGTCTTATCAGAAAAAATTCTTTCAATTACATCAATGCTATAATATAAAGTTGTTTTCTACGTATCTACTTTATAAACACTCAGGCAGAGAATTGGCTTGAGAGAGAACTTGGCTGGAAAATGTTGTATTTCAAAAATCTATCGTTTTAATGGAAATCCAGAACTTTATCTCTTATCACTACCAAAATAGCACCTTGATTTTTCATTTAGTGCGTCTACATGAACACTCACAAGATTACTAGTATTATTTTAACATGTTACTAACTTAGCATACACTCTCCACTCTTTTCAAAGCCACTTCTGAACCTGTTGATTTACCACAGAATTGTGGTAAAATGTTATGTTTACGGTTTGTCAATAGTTAATGCTGATAGATTTCCAAGGGATCATTAAATTCAATAGAGTAGAAGGTGGATGATAAATTCTGAAAACGATTGCATCATTTATTTAGGAAAATATTAGTTTGACAGCAATTTAAATGTATCATAAACAGTAATTATCTTCCCATTAAAAGTTTTAAAACGAAACATGATGGCGATATTCTTTTTCAGATCTACAAAGTCCCCCTGACAAGTATTCACAATATATTAACTGTTCGAGACCTTAAAGAAGGAAAAGGTAATAAACGCATAAATTTACACTAATAAAACTGTAATTATTTATACTTAATAATCACTGAATATTGCTAATTAATTACTGCTAAATGTTGAACCGAAAGTTAGAACCCAAAACGCTTTTACCAAGACATCTAACGTGGAAGTGTTTTTTTGATCCAAATGTGTAAGTTTAAATGATAAGAATTATACTATGACTTCGTGAAATAGACAAAAAATTAAACTAAACTAGCCGAAAAGTACTGTGGAGAAACAGCTTTATAGTGGTTATTGTAAATGACCATTAAATCTGACAAGCAGAAATATATGGAGGACATGGCAACGACAACGAAAGAAGTTGCAAGAGAAAGAAATGTGAGACAACTATATGAAACAATGAACAAGTGGGTAGAACACTATGAGGAACTATTGTAAAGGCCACCTCCATTGAATCCACCGATATGGAAGCAGTGCGTACAGACTCTTCTGTAGACATCACTTCATCAATTATCCGAGAAATCAGGATGGTCATCAGACAACTGAAGAGCGGAAAGGCAGCCGACTCTGACAAAATACCAGCCGAAGCAAGGAAGTCATACGTAGAAGTAACTGCACACATGCTTCACGTTCCATTTAAGAATATTTGGAACGAGGAGGAGCAAGTGACGACAGATTGGGGAAGAAATACCTCATCAAGATACCAAGGGATGGAGATCTCGGTACATAAGGGAACCACAGAAACATCACACTACTATCTGTACCAGGAAACACTCTCAACAGAGTGTTGCTGAACCGAATGAAAAGTTCAGTAGACGATTAGCTTCGGGATCAACAGTATAGATTCCATAAGGACCGGTCGTGCACAGACTGAATCGCAACACTACGGATCATCGTTGAACAATCAGCTGAATGGAACTCATCACTATACATTAACTTCATTGACTATGAGAAAGCGTTTGACAGTGTGAATAGGAGACAGTATGGAACCTTCTTCGACACTATTGAGTGAGTAGCCGAGAAAATCGCCAACATCATCCGGAACTCGCACGACGAACTACACTGCATGGAGGACAGTTGACAGGCTCATTCCGAGTAAGGACTGGCAACAGAGAGGTATGCTTACTCTCTACTTTTCTTTTTCTTCTGGTTGTCGGCTGGATTATGAAGACCTCCACATCTGGGGGTAAGCACGGAACACAGCGGATAGGTTGAATGAAACTAGACGACTCGGACTTGGCAGATGATATGGCTCTTCCACACACACCAAAAATGCAGATGAAGACAGCCAGTGTAGCAACAGCCCCCGATTCAGCAGGCCTCAACATACACAAGGGAAGATGAAAGAACCTCAAATACAACACGGAGAACACCAACCCAATTACATTCGATAGATAGGTTCTGGAAGAGGTGGAAAATTTCACGCACCTGGGAAGCATCGCCGATAAACAAAAAGGATCAGATGCAGACGTAAAGGCAAGGATTGGCAATGCAAGGGAAGCATTTCTACAGTTGGGGAACACAGGGCACTCAAAACAACTGTCCACAAACATGAAAGTCGGAATCTTCAATACGAACGTCAAGACGGTTCTGTTGTACGGATGTGAAACATGGAGAACTACTACAGTCATCACCAAAAGTGTACAAGTATTAATAAACAGTTGTCTGAGCAAGACCTTCAATGTCCGTTGGTCAGAGACCATCAGCAACAACCTACTGTAGGCGAAAACAAGCCAGATTCCAGATGAAAAGGAAGTCAGAAAAAAACGGTGGAAGTGGATAGGACGTACATTGAGGAAATCACCAAACTGCATCATGAGACAAGCGCTAATTTGGAGTCCTTAAGAAAAACGGAAAATAGGAAGACCAAAAACACAATGCATCGAGACTTGGAAGCAGACATGAAAAGGATGAATAGTAACTGTAAAGAACTGGAAAGGATTGCCCAGGACAGAGTTAGATAGAGAATGCTGGTGGGCGGCGTTTGCTTTACCACAAGGGGTTACAGGCGTAAGTAAGTAAGGAGACATACACATTAATATGCAATATTGTCAGCGATATTGATGGGTTTCAGCGCTAAATTATCATGAGTCTTTTTAGGCAATGGTCTTTCACAGAAAAACAACAATCTAGTTGACATTCCCCAATAAATTCTCTTTCTATTCATACTGTCATTTTACTACTTAGTGTGGTAATTAAATAGGCGTCTATGCTATAACCAAACGTTTTCATGAGATCACTAACTCGAGTCCATTTTTTTAATTGTTTGGACAAACGTCATTATAACAAATCTTCGAAGAAAAACCTAAGCTGGTTCTCTGCGTTTTGATCCTGATCGAGTGTCATACCCTGTCCATGATATCGGGCGATAAAATAGGAAATTTGTAACAACCCTTTGTAACCAAAGAGACCAATTACGAGTTAAAATGCGTCGTAGCTGTTTACCATCTTTTGTTCTACTAATTATTCCCTTAAGACTTGCAATCGTTGTTTATAAATCGGTTAATTTTCGTCACAAAGCCAGTCAACCTCAACGAAGACCAACGTCTTCAATCGTTTCTGATGAGTCATAGGTAATTTTCTTATATCGTGAGCAATGTTTTTTGCAAAGATACTAAAGCTTCCGTAAAATGACCTCTTGAGATTTCAGTGAAGGGGATGACCAATTTATTGTTTAATGCAGACAATCATGGTGCCACGGGAACAGCACAGCTACGAGCATAAAGTAAGTATATATTTACTTGTCAAAAACATAAGGGATATAAGCGATTGAAGCCGCAAGATAGTGAAAGGTAGGGGTTTTAATTATGTTTGTCCATTAGTTGTGGTAAATGTTTTCTTTCCAAGACTATTAATTAACTTCTTACTTTTAGAAAAGGAAGTTTAAATAAGTGGTTCAAAACTTGCAAAATAATTCTTACTATGTGTACAAACGAAAGTGACATTGTTTATCTCAATAAGTAAATAACGGTTTTTAATTATTTTTCAGTTGTTGCTGGATATGCCTGTACATTCGCCTTGTTTACTAAAATCGATTTGGACTGTGAAAATTCACAATACCTGATAACACTGCAATGCTCCAATTGTCATGGTCGCTTAAGGTCATGTGATCCGCCAGCAGATTACGGTGTGACAGCACCAGGAAAAAAATTTGACCCAAATATGAAACATATGTTTGCAATGTGCGCTACTCCAGGTTGTCCGACAAGTGGACAAAGACTGTCTTGGTTTGATAAACAACACGTAAATGTGAGTATAATTTCTGTGATAATACTTAATTATTTACAATTGATGAATATTTTTTTCGTTTTGTTGCTTTGTTGAATAAAAGTTCTTTCAAATATGTAAGATAAACAAAAGAAATTATCTGGAACCCGAACAAAGCAAACCTAATGAATATTAATCAAAGATCTTGTCTCAAAATCATCACATATAGTTTAGTTGAGCTTACTACTTTAGCTTTAGTCATGAAAAACTAATAATTTCTTAACGTTTCACTTAATTTTTAGCACTTTATCATAGAAGTCTTAGACTCGACTCCATTGTAACTAAAAATTTCAGGTAGCAGTTGTCTCTCACAAGAAAAATCGTACTCTGAGAAATAAAGTAATACAGCTACCAATTTAATGGCTCTATTAAGACAATTATTTGGATATTGCTTCTTATTGTTTAGGCACTTAGAAAACGTAATAAATAAAGGTTGTAAAGCGATTTTAGATTAGTAGAATACAGAACATTAAGAAAAAATCAAACAACGCAGAAAACTTTCTAAAAATCCGTTTCAAAATGTACGAATCAGATGATGTGGTATAGACACAGTGACATTCTGTATCATTATTCATTATAAGTAATCCGAAGCAAGACACACTTCAAAGTGAATCATTAGGAAAAGTTGTATAGATACATTATCAGTCAAGTCCGGAAAGATAAACAGTCTTCTTTGTACTAAACACCTAAAAATGATGTTTTATTAATGAGGCAGTTTGCGGAAAATTTATTCGCTTATTAATATTAAAGTTTGGCAAAGTAGTTAAAAGTTGATTACGATGAGTGAAAATCTGAAACTGAGAATAAAAGATGTAGTCTTTTTTTCTGCTCAACTGGATTCGGTAAACTATACAAAACATATCGACAGTATAAAAATAGGCAGGTTGTACGAAACATTTTAGATATTATTAAACTTTGTCGAAAAGCTAATCAAGTTATATGTGTTCTTTTAACAAGTCTACAGAGCAGATTTATAACACAGAGAACTCTAATATTATCTAGACTAGAAGACTTGAAGTAATGATCGTCTGCTGACACAGTTGTCACAAACTTTAAAACTGTGTGATGGAATTTATCGTGATCAGTGTTTGAAGTATAAAAGTATGCCTTAATTAACTATACTTAAAACATAACAATGAGAATTAAGTGTCTCTCAAGAATACAAAGGAATATATTAACACGAAAATAAAAATCTGAAGGTTTTTTTGTAAATTTTTCTACGTCATCCTACAGTCAAGTGTTAGAGAATTCGATGATGAACTTGCTTAGTTAAAAACCCAATATAGCTAGCTCCATGTGAAACAGATAAAAACGAAAACCCGTATAAAAAGACAGGTTCAGTCAATATTTCTTCACTTAAGGCTCCAATCAAAAGAAAGATTATTTGGATCTGGGCATTTAAAGTTATTAACATAACACAACCAACTGAATTATCATCAATAATGAACATTTTTCTGTCAACTCAAAATATATAACTTGATCAAATTAACACTTTTTAAATAGAACTGAATTCTTTTCAATAATCATGATGTTAATATTAACAAAAGAAATATTCTATTATCAACAATCAATATAGGTTGTGAACTCAGATCTATTTTTTGCTTACTACAAGGTTTACAAATACCAACTTTAAAATAGAGTGGACCTTTACAAGCTATTTGTCTAGAGTTTCTGAACTTCGTTACTTTGATTAACCATCCCATACTTTTCGTATAGATTTCATCTCATATGATGGTTTATAGACAATAGTTGTTAGGAGTTATGCCACATACGAATTTGTACAAATGAAGCATTTTTCCCTAATAAATCTTGAAACTTCTCTACAGATGGAATACGGTACCATTGTTCACCTATCCGATCATACAGGAACATATTCTAGATGTCTTTTAGCCAGTATTGCAATGGAAAAACTTTTAGGATGCAACGTCGAAGAATTTCTACATTTACCAATGGAGAAACGAGTTCGTTTGAAGTGGAAGTTCTGTCTAAGAAGATTTAAGGTCTGTTTACTACTTTTTTTATGTGTTACAATCTTCAGTTTCAAGTAGATGAATTACTTTAAAATATCTTATTATAAAGGATACTGTTTTGAATGATATACCATTTCTGATCTGGTAAAGAAAACCCAGTTTCAAGTTCTAATGGTTTTACTTAATTAATCCATTAATGTACATTAATGTATTTATTTATTTACAGTATCACAAGACACCAGTAATTCTTGAATAAATTTTGAGTAAACATTTGATCCACTATAATTGCAGTGAATTTCTAACCAAACGCCTTCGACAATAAATTTATTATCATGAATTCTGAGTACAAATATCTGTTCTTACCTGATCAATGGTTTACAATAACTATAGACCTATTGATATATTTTTTCATTTATTAGAAAATGCAGTCCTGAAGAGAAAGCCATGTCTCATCACTATTCAACACCACATCAAATTATACACATCATATACATTGCTATTGTATAGATCATAGCTAATTTCTCTTGTGAATAATCGTTATAATACTTGAAATAAACCGTACGTTTTGACATTAAACAAAAACAATTTGGGTGTGAAACAATATTTTCATAAGAACGGTCTAAACCCATTAACCTATTGACTAGTTGTTCGAGTTTACAGTTTGTGAAATAATCCAGAGATTTATTCAAGTACCATAATGATTACACTAATGAGACAAACATGTTGTTCAAATTCTCTTTCCACAAAACCAGTATAATTTACGTTTTATTTATAGATTGACCAAATTAAATTTGTTTATTTGGTTAAATAATTAATAACAATTAAAAATGACAATAACTGAACCAATTTATGCTAAAACTTATTAATTTTATTCTTCAGGTTTATTTTTGGACTGAACAGATTAGTTATAATAATCCATCACCTTTAATCGTTATAATAGGCGTTGAAAAACCTAATGCTTTTGAAGTAATTCATTCATTGAAATTAAACAGATAACATTATTTGTTAAATTGGTTGATATATCAAAGATCTTAAACATTTCGTTGAATAACCTTTTGCTATTAAATGTTTACAATCCTTATTCGTTGTTTCTGTGAAATTGTTTCCTAAAGAAGCATTGTTTACACTTTCCAATAATAAAATGAATAGTTGAAATGAATTTCTTTACTGCTTTGGTGTAAAATAAGTAAGAAAATAATTAATAGTAATTATAATGTGTACGTGGTACCTTTAACAGACAAATTATTATTCAAAACTTAAATTGTTTAGTTCATGATCAAAATAATGTTGAGTGTGTTTGTAAATCAATAATCAAATTAAACAATCAGTGAGAATAGTGTTTTAACATGAATGATAAACCTGGGTATATGGTATACAATGAACTACCTAATATTCCTAGTGTACGTAACTAATTAAATAGATATACATTGATTCATTTATTCCGACTTTGCTAACCTTGTATGAAAATAAACTATTACAGGACAAAATATCAATACAAGCTATTCGGATATTTATAATTTGCGATGGCATTATTTCCTCAATAAGAATCCAGACAGTTAAACATTCCTCTTAAAATAATTCACGTACCAACGGTTATGAGTAAGTAATTTACAAAATCGGTCGTTTCATGGTAAACCGTGCTTTGAAAGGAAACAGACCATGTACCTTGATGACAAAAGAGCTTTGAAACTGAAGAATCAGATGCTAATTTAGTGTATACATGACGTTTAATTACAAAAATTCCGTTATCATATAATGGGCAGAATTGGTTATTAAACATTTAGTTCCATAAATGTATTTAGCTTACTGAAGAACTTTGTGAAGACTAGAAATCTATTCCATTTCTAACGTTTGTATGTTAGGCAGTCGAAATTGTCGCATGATCTCCAAAGGGACTTGTTTACAACGGAGTAATGTCTGCAGACTATTTAATGTGGAGACTGAGGACTAATTTTACTCAGAACAAAGAAAAAAAATGCTTTATGAACACTAATGAGCAAAACACTACTAGGCTGATTTGGAGAACCATTAATAAGCGATTGCTACTAACCATTTGTGTGAATTATTTTCTGGTTTACTTAAATTTAATGACACTTTCATATAACAACCCAACCTTTCAATAAACAATATATTTTAAACAATGAAGTACAGACAACAAAATTAAATGATACAATAAGATAATTTGCTAAAACATATCTATGAAACAGACTGATTAAAAGAAAAAACACATATTAGGTATCAACGGGTTTCAACTCTGGTTTTCGAAAATGGCGCATATGTGAACTAGGATCATTGGGTCGGAATGGTGCATGAGCTCCATATGGTATCAAAACTGAGTTAGTTTTTGGACTAGACACTTGATCGTCTGAACCACCATGATTGGGGGCTGTATTTGGTGGGTATTCATAGGATTTTTTTGATACGTCACGATGAATTAGGTAGGCATTAGGTCTTTCCGGAGCTGTAGTCCAGTAGTCATTTAGTTCTAAAGCCTAAAGCAGGAAAAATGTTGTAAAAGATGAAGTTTTCGTGTTCGAATTGTAACTTCAACTAGAGGAACTTAGAGTAAAATTTATTTATTACAATAAATAGAACAAAAGTGATGTCTGTATTCATTGGATTTAGTTTCCCTTCTTAATAAAATCATTTGATTGAATGAGTTAAAAACTTGTTATATATGTCAGTAATGAATATTTCTAAGTACTGGGTGGAGGAAAGAAAACAATTTTCATCTAAATATAAAGCGCCTACTTTAGATTTATCCGGTGAAACCGAAACAATTCCTTCAAGATGTTTAAATATATTTACCGTGCCAAAATATTTCATAGATTATTAGAACTTTATAGTTTGTTCTGTGTAAAAATAAGCGACTAAACAAGTTATTCTGTACCAATATCAACTACCTACGGCCTTTTAGTAGCTGAATATGTTTATGTATGAATACATTAGTTAACCTTGAAGATGTAAATAAAATATACATCCTCAGTTTAATCTAGCTTATTGCCGTACACCGATATTGAGATTCCATACGTTATCAAGATTGAATGGGTTGATTGAATGGGTTAGCTTTATCTAATGAATCGCAGTTCTCTCCTAACTTAAACTTATGTTCGAGAAAGATATTATATCAATGAAGTTAATTCCGTAACAACTGAATGACCTGCTAAATTCTAAACAAAATTACGATCATCTAGAAATTTATTACGATATAAAATTATGAGTACGTCTTAATTGAAATATTTCTACAAAAATCAAACTTATTTATTTACACCTGTGTAAATGTAAACACTGACATATTTAGATATAAAAATTTGAAGGCTTTTATGACTTGATTTGTAAACGTCACAAAATTCTTCACCACTTGCGCTTCAAAATCAAAACTTACCTTTGAAATCCTTTTTCTATCAGATTTCCACTGAATTACTTTACTATATTTTTCTAATTCTTCAATCACATCATCTGTAGGAGGGTTCCCGGCCTCTATGCGTTCATAACATTCTTTAAGAAAAGTTCGGCGTTCCTTTAAATACAAGAAACAGCATTCAGTGATAATGAAAAATTAGTTTTGAAGCCTTAGTTCCTAATTAAATAATAAAATAGCGAAAATCTATTAGGACAAATGTGATAAACGTCTTAACTAGTTAGAAACAACCTTTGGGTAGATTTCGAACCCTGAAAACCGTTGCAGAATATAGGTTCTATATATTGAAGCAGGAGTGAACTGAGCCTGGATAGCACAGTCTTATATAAATGTTACCATAGATAACCATTGCTACCAGTTAAAGCCAAATAATGTCTTGTGCTTATTGCTTCCGTTTACTATTAAGATACTAATGAAATGTGAATTTGGTACATCAAAATATGACTAACATGGACTAAAATTTGCCTTGAATGACAGCAAAAAAATATGAAAAGACTGATTAAAATGGAACTTACTTTTCGTCAAAGCAAAAGAAAGTATTTAAGTTAATGGCGGTCTGGAAACATAAGTCATTTCAAATAAATTTGTAATTGTAAACCCAATATAGGTAATGCAAAAAACATACCAAAGACTGCATGTTTGTAGTTAAGCTACGGTTAACGGATTCGCTTATGCACAACCAAGTATATTAGGTTACTAATGTTTCAGTGCAAACAATCATTCTAATGAAGCTATGTGGTAAGTAATATATACTGTAAGGCAATTCATAGTGAATACAGTTAAGAGAAAATGGTGATACCGTGGTGTGTGCTGCTTATATGGGCAGATATAAGTAGTACGCGTCAGAAAGAAACAGTCGAATTCTTACTGACAGAAGTGGAAAGTGGGGAAAAGAGAAGTAAAAACAAAACCAGTTGTGGTAAAAACAGGGTCGAAAGAACAGTGGAGTTCGCTAATGATAATTCAAGGAAGTTTTGCAAATAGTGTATTCAGTATATTGTTTTCATATTTCAAAAATGCTATATAATTCAATAACACTTCAAACGTTCAGTCATTAGTAAGTTCGTTGAAGTTCGAAAGCAAAAAACAATAATGCAGTTTTCCGAGATGATGTCTAACCATAAGACGACTGTGAGTTTACGAATAAGTTTTCAAAAAAATATACTATGATATACCCTTTTATGGACTTTCGTAACGTACATATTAACTTGTAAGTTATCGTCCAGAGGATGCACGGTAGCTAATATTATACAACCATTTATGTTATTATTTTTATATTCAATAAAGTCACCTAACTGCACTGCTATTTTAAATCACATCAATTAGCAGATGACAAAAACTTCATATAAATAACTATTCTTTGTTATCGTGTAAATTGGAACAAATCACACTGGAAAGATTGTCAGTTTATTATCTGTAATTAGCTTTTCGTGAAGAGACTAATTCATTTTACATGAAATCAAATCGTCACCGGATAATATTTATTGAAAATTAACAGTATATTTATGTTACCTTTACTTGCTGTTCAAGGTCAAATGCTGTAGTCATTAACATGGTTAATTCAGCTGTTGTCGCTTTTAAAAGTTTTGTAGTTTGAACAGTAGTACCTTTCTGTTCATTCGTTTTAACAGCCAATGTTAGTGCTACATCTCTGAAAATAAATAAATTTCACCTTAAATAGTTTACCATCGATAAATATATGACTGTCAGATAAATAGCATGGTCTAAAATCGTTTGATTTTTCCGTTTCACAAAAAGATAGATATTAATAATCGTTTACAAGATTGTCAAATACATAATTGAATGAGGGACCAACTTATTGACCAAAAAATTTAAACAGTCATTCCGGCGACGACGTTGAGTAGCTGAGACTAAGTGACATAGGCCTACCTCACGGAATGAAGGCTAACTGGTACTATAAGGTCAGGATAGCTCGTAACATTAACATCACTGGTATTACTTTACTTACTTACTTACGCCTGTTACTCCCAATGGAGCATAGGCCGCCGACCAGTCATATAAACTTTAAATTACAAAATATGACACGTATTTTGAATGTAGACCATTGATACAATATGCTTCAACAAAGAAAACGATTTACTAGATTACTCGTATCTCGAAGATTTATACTTACTACTCACATTTATAAATGCACAAACATATGAAACATTTATGGGAAGCTAATGGTACTTTATGATAATCTTTTACAAGAAGAACGATATGACATTGTTTGAAGGGGTTCGAATCTCGCGAGATGGGATCGTGGATGCGCACTGTCGAGGAGTTCCACAATAAGACGAAACGGCCGTCCAGTACTTCCAGGTTTTCCATAGTGGTCTAACTTCCATTAACTCATGATTTCAACTATATATGACATTAGTTTCATTCCTTCAATTAATTTAATTGATTTCATCTGATCACATTGTTTAATTAAATATAAATAACTACTTAAAGTATGTTTAAATTTTTTTTTAAGAAAATAATAAAAATGACATATTATTAAAAAACATATAAGTAGTACCAATCATTCTAATTTTACAAAATTTAAAACATACTTGCCCATATTAACTTGTTTTTCAAGTTTATTTATTAAACATTGAATTGCATCCAATAATAAATTTAATTCTAATAATTTTTTTTCACGTGAATAGATTTGAATTTCAAGTGTATCAATTTTATATTTTAATTCAGCTATATTTTCATTTTTACCATTTAATTCATTTAAACGTGTTTCATATATAATTATATTAATATTTTTATGATTTTTACATTTAATTAAATCTTTTTGAATTGCATCACCTGTTTCACTATCCAATAAAAATGCTTTTGGTGAAATAGCGGTTTTTTCTAATTTTGCTAAACGATCTTGATATACAGCTAACTAAAAAATTTTAAAAAAATTTTTTAAATTTTAAACTCGGGAAAATTTTATTACTATTATACATTAATAGTGTATAATCTGATCCATCATTTCTTAACAATAAAATAACTATCCGATTAACAAATAACTGTCAATACAAATGTCAAGACAGTTGTACTGTATGGGGCGGAGACGTGGAGAATTACGAAAGCCATCATACAGAAGATACAGGTGTTTATTAACAGTTGTCTACGTAAGATACTTCGGACCCGTTGGCCAGACACTATCAGCAACAACCTACCGTGGGAGACAACAAACCAGATTCCAGAGGATGAAGAAATCAGGAAGAAGCGACGGAAGTGGATAGGGCACACTTTGAAGGAATCACCCGACTGCGTCACAAGACAAGCCCTCACATGGAATTCTGAAGGCCAAATGAGAAGAGGAAGACCAAAGAACACATTACGCCGAGAAATAGAGACAGACATGAGAAGAATGAACAAAAACTGGACAGAACTAGAAAGGAAGGCTGAGGATATAGTGGGTTGGCGAATGCTGGTCGGCGGCCTATGCTCCATCGGGAGTAACAGGCGTAAGTAAGTAAGTAGGTAAGTAAGATTTATAAAAACATTAGAATGTAAACATGATTTTAAATTTCAAGAACGGTATTATTCGATTATGAGGTACTTTATGTACAAAAATCTTCAGTAACGTATAACTGATAAGATGAAAAAGTTGTTCAATCATGGGCTTAGATTAATTATTTTACAGATTAAAATTACAATTACGAATTCTCCATAGAATGGTTTAGATTCTGTAGATTCGTATAGTAATCAAAAGGCTTCAGCAAACGTTTACTGCAAGGTATACTAATTATATCGAATAGCTCCGCAACAGATGTTTAATTATTTAATATGTAACAAAATTTAGAATTAACGGCTTGGATGTAAGAACTTTTAAAATTAACCGACTAATGAACTAAATGTACAGCAATTAAGAATCGATTATGATAACTTAGAGACAATTCTACCTTAAATTGTTAGTTCTCAATATATGTGTTGTAAGGAATTGTGATTACTCAAGTCAGTGAATTATATATTGAAAACTAGAGTATCCTACTTGTTTAACATCGGCTTAAGTGGTTTATCAACATTAAGACAAAGTGAAATATGGTTATATATATTGAAACTTGTAATATGTAACTTAGTTTAATTAATGCATAACAATTACGTGTGTTTTTGTGTTGTATTAAAATTAACTTCGAAAGCTAGAAACAATATTACATTATAGGTATCATTAACAAGTTTTGATTTTCAGAAGGGGTTTTGTGGAGATTTAGTATTTTTTTTCATAGTAGAAAGCATGAGTCAATTGAAGCTAGACCATCATGGAAAACCTGGAAACACTGGACGGCCGTTTCGTCCTATTATGGGACTCCTCAGCAGTGCGCATCCACGAACCCGCTCTCGCGAGATTCGAACCCAGGACCTATCAGTCGTTGGATGCCAGCTCAGTGGTCTATCGGTTAAGGGCTTCGACTCGAGACTGGTAGGTCCTGGGTTCGAATCTCGCGAGAGCGGGTTCGTGGATGCGCACTGCTGAGGAGTCCCATAATAGGACGAAACGGCCGTCCAGTGGTTCCAAGTTTTGATTTGACAATTTTGAATAAATTGAGCATTAGGTAGATTGTTATAAATAAATTAATATATTTGTAATATCCCAATGAGTAAAAAATTAGATTTTCTGACGTTTCGTGACTCAGTGTTATAAATAACCAAATCAAAATTAATCCAAGTTTAAATAGTACACGGAACTACACGAATATTATGTGATCAATCAAAAAACGGGTCTGAATAATGTCAGGTCATTTCATTTCGGTCAAGGTGATTCATAAGCGATATGTATGTAAATTTGTGTGTATGTGTCCACTGTTGATGATGAAAAATGTGAGACCATTATAATGATAAAGGATAGAGTTTAATTTGTAATGCAATGGTGTGAATTGTAAATAATATTAGACTAGATGATTAGGATAGATAGTCCAAGTGGGATATTACAAATATATTAATTTATTTGTAATATTACATTATATTCTAGCATAAGCTATACGTGATGGAATTACTCAATTGACTTGACGACAAAATAAGTATTGCAATAAAAATTCATAAGAGAAATAAAATGTATCGAATCGATTTTTTCTTAAAAGAAATAACAATAAAATTACCTGTAGTTGACTAGACTGAACTTCATTTTTTAGTTTTTTACTTTTTTCACTCTCTTTTTTCAATAATTCATTTTTTCTTTTTATATCATTTTTGATTAATTGTAAACTTTTTATTTCATCTTCTAATTTATTCATTTCAATTTCACCTTTATGAAGAGTGAAATTTTGTAGATTCAATTTTTCCTTGTTTTTAATGAAAGAACAAAGATTAATAAGGAAACTTTTGAGTCTATATCTAAAGGTCAAAAAAGGGATATTTTGCAAAAATTGATGTATATCAGTTATTAAGAATTTCGCTTTCATCTAGTATACAAGTAAACTGAGAACACAAAGATATTCAATCATACAAATTTTGGTGCTTTTTTCTAGACTTCAGTTTTAGTCTACATCTTTCTACGCCCCGGTCAATATATTGCAAAATAAACTAATTTTTGAATAATACCTAATGTTTCTGTCCCAAAAACTTACCGAATCCTTTCTTAAGAATTACATAATAGGATTATTAAACCTGGAATCATAATATCATAATCAAATTTATATGATCCTAGGATTTCTCTGCTAACAATCAGAAAGTCTTTTTATAGTAATATAATATCAATTACGAGGAACAAACCTTTAGATGTATAATTATTCATTGAATGATTAAAACAGAACGAATATTTCACTTTCGTTCTCATTTTGCATTACAATTACTAATAAAATGGTCTGAACTTACTAGAAAAATTAATTTTAGACGAAGGTATTAAAATCAATAGACTAATAAAAAGGTATAATCAGTTTTAATAAATTACGAAGATATCTGTATTTTAAGTAAGGATTTCGTTTTGTAAATAGACATGATTTGCAGAAAATTTGTTTCAAACAAAGTTAAACAAACTGAGATGTAATTTTAAAAAAACTCCATTTTATGTATGCTCATGAATACGTAGGTTTAGTGTTTCTGATGCAGCATTTCTTACATTTGTGCTTTATTGTGTTTTGTAGAAACACTTGAAGATAGTCAAGTGCAAACAGCGTTACTAGAACGGATTGTTTTAGAAGATATAGAATATATAACTAAAGATTACTGCTATCTGAATCAGACAACGCTAAGAGTTTTAGGTGGAAAGAACCCCGCATGATAACGTGACGAGAATAATGACTTGAGTGGGGGATTTCTGTTTTTCATATAGACGACTATAATTTATCGGCTCGTTTCAATCACGTGAACTTTAATTAAAAGCTATTTAATAATAACAGACTCAGTAAATAAACAATCAATAAACCGTGATCATTTGATAAAAACCTACTAAAGGCAGTACGTTTTCTTCGTCTGTTTACATTCTTATAGCTCTAGTGAATACAAAATGTTTTACCTGTAGAACACAGAATTCTTCATTACGTTCAACTATTTCAATAGCTCGAGAGTCGCGTAATTTAATTACATGACCTATAGCATTTTTTAAGTCTTCTAATTGCTTCGTTGTTTGTGTAATTATTGTATTTTGCCTATGGATTGATTGTTCCATTCGTTCCTTTTGCGCTTCATTATCTTTGATAGTACAACTCTACACAAGCGAATAATGAAAAAATAAGCAAATAAATAATAATGGCAGTGGATGATGATTACTTGATGTAGTAAACTGACTGAGGCAAAATGTGCAAACTGACACAGTGAGCAAATCTAAATTTGGCAAGTGAAAAGGTCATGTTATGCTCACGAAAATTCTCCAAAAGACAAGTCTTGGTGGTTGACTAAGAAACAGTTATATCTTCTAAGGAGTAGACATGTAAGTTTATTCATTTTACTCGGTTAAGCCCAGTAAAATCTCCTTAGCACTCTTAGTCATCCGATTCAGTTGCCGGTTGGAGATCAACGTATAAGAAGTCTGTGTATTAGTATCAGTTTGAGACACTGCGTGTGATAACACAAACTATTTTATACCAGTCTATTAATATAAAAGTTAAATGTCCATCACGGAGCCTCAAGATTTTGGGTTCGAACCCTAATAGTATTATGGATGCAAACTCTTAGTGTTTTGAATTAGAACGCAATGTTTGCCCAGTACTTCCGGTTTTTTTTATGGCTATCTAAATTCACTTCATGTCGTAGACAAAAGTATTTACTATTATTAAGCTGCTATTATCTTTTTGTCAAAAATAGGTTCAATCCATTATTAGAAATCACTGTTTGTAATCTAATTCAAGTACATACTCCAGGATCTTAGTTACTAACAGGCTGTGTTCTGAATTTTGATACGTGTTAGTGATGAGGCACCAACCTGCTTCTTGGACTGAACTGAGGAAAGATAATTTCAAACTTGACACCAATTAGATATAAATCAAGTTATCGAACCTCTGTATTGTACCTGCACAATAATAATAAACAACTAAAAAACAAATGAAACTTAAATCCGTTCATTGCTTCCAGGTTTTCGATGGTGGTCTAGTTTCAATTGACTCAGGATCACAACTCTATGAAACTTAAATTACTTGAAATGAATACATTTACTGTTTGAAAACACTTTTTTTTAAAAACATACCAATTTTGAGAATTCATTGCGTAAATGATCACGTGCTACAGTAACTTTTTCAATATTTTTTCGTTGTTTATTTAATAATTCTTCTTTATGATCTAAATTATTCTTTAAAATATCTATTTCATTTGCTGATATACGTAGTTTTTCTCCCAATTCTTGTATATGTTGATTTGATAATTGAATAGAATTTAAACAATTATTACGTTCTTCTTTAACTGTTTCATATAAATGAGCGAAATCTTTCAATTTTTTCTAAATAAAATAAATTTTTTTAAAAGAAAATTCACATAAAATTAGTATAAAAAGAAGCTGTTATAATGTTAATAAGACAGAGATTTTAAACAAAAATTTTGTTGCCCCTTTAGTCCGACTCCAATTAGATGATATGATGACGTCATTTAGGCTACCATCATTAGTAAATAATGGAGTAAACTATGTCGAATATGAAAATGAATTTCGAATACGCATATTTCTTACACTCATTGAAACGTACAGACATTCAAAATAAAAAGCGAAAAATCAAAACGAAGCGGAGAAGGTGAGTGAGAAAACAAATTTAGTTAAAGCGAGATTTCATATTTATGGTCGGACGAAAATAAGCTACAGGCATGTGATGAGTAGAATAAGGAATACACACGAATGCACTACTATAAAAACAACCAATGTTAATAAACGAATAACGAACAAGGTAAAAATGTGGCTCAAGAAGGATGATTAAATCAGTCTATCGAGAAGCTAGAATAACCGACATGGGCTTGATATAGTACTGGACACTATTGGATAGCCTGCTATCATTTTTCAGTGATACAAATCAATAGTATCTCCATCTACTTTCTTCATTCTTTTGATTAGATCGTTGACTATGGTGATGACATATGTGTTCAAATAGCTTGATGTACGTTAGTAACAGGAGTTATGCTTTTCATAAATTATTGTAAAGAATTATTTATCAGTTCATAAGACGAAGTTCGTTCAAGCACTTTTCTAGATTCAAGGTTAGCTACAATTTTTTACTAAAAACTGACTAAATAACTAGTGTTGCAGTTGTGTGTTGACAATTTCATTTATCCACTGTCAATAAAATAATAGTCTGTTTCAAGAGTATAACCTAATCGAAAGGTTGAAAGTAGGTTGACCAGCAGTATATCTTGTATCTAACATAATCTATCGAATTGAGAATATACATCAAGAGCCAGCCAATGAGCGTAAGTTGCATATTAGTTATGTAGTTCTTGCAAAAAGATAATTTTTCTTCAGTGGCTATTACCGTTTACTTTTAATGCTTGTCTGCTGCCTTTATGGGAACCTATTAATGAGAAACTTTCTACAAAGAATCATTTAATCGATTTTGTACGCTTTTCAAAAATATTTGCACAAAATAAAGTCTTCAAGTATGTTAACTCTGCTTGAATTTTTCACTTTCATTTTATAGTAGGTTGGCTCTTTTTTCAGTAGATACTAGGTTACTTGCATAGATTTAGTAAGCTACGTCATTATCAATCACTTTTAAATGTACAGCATATAATCTCTTCGTTATGTAACACATGAATTCGCAACATTCAATGCATTTTTTATTATAATTGTATTGTTTTAACATTCTGTATAAGTTAACTTCATTCTTGTGCGTTCACTGAACACTTGTTTATTTGTACGTATTTCCATATTGAGTACACATGTTTGTTATCTGCGATTGTTGAATTTGAACCACTACTTAGTTTTTTGAATGATTTTGGTAAATTATTCTTAGATAAACATTTCAGAAAGCATTTCTCACTTAAATGTACCTTGGTGCATTTCAATACCTTAGGTGACTTACGAATTAAGGTTTTTTAAAATGTATTGCTTCTACTGACACTTATTACAGTACTGCTTTTTATAGACAAACCTAGTGTTCTGATTTAAGGTTTTATGTGTGACCCAATCATTTGTTCCAGGTCATCCGGCAAATTTAACAAGTTATATACTAGGAAACAAATATCCAAATAATTATGAGCTTGTAAAACTCATAAATACTAAAATGAAGGTTAACAATATGCTGATACATTAATTAACTAGGAATTCGAAATGGCATATATCTATACGAAAAAAATATAATTTTTAGAAATATTTACTAGGTCAAACGCTAATACACATACATGAAAATGTGAATTGATGTACCGGAAGAAATATTTACGAAACAATTGAGTAACCATGACTAGATGAGTCAAGTTTACCAGAAGAGAGATGCAAGCAAATTAATTGAATCGGATTTTGTTTATATCTTTCGCGAAAGTCCAAATAATTTTATCTCAGTCTAGTGTCTTGATATAACCGTGTTAGACTCAATGTTATTCATCTGATTTCCTTCAGTTTACTTTGTTAAAAAGTAGAGAGTTACCACAGCTAAGGAATCCGAAATACAACTGAAGTGGCATGAGATTACCTAATGTCTTTAAATGGTTTTTAAGTTAGTGGAATTTCTCAATAATAATATTCTCTATCTCTTGGAGTCTGTGAACATTTCTTGTTAGGAGAATAAGTGTAGCCCTTAGATAACTCACATTTAGGTAAATAACGAAGGTTTATTGAAATCAGAATTTGATAAATACTTCCTAATTTAGACCAGAATACAATATGTACAGTAACAAAATCGATAATTTTTGCAAATACCTGTGTACTATTCAGTGATTTATCATATTCATTTATTTGCAGTTGTTTTGACTTAATATCATCTTGTATACGATTGTATCGTGATTGAGCAATTAAAAACTCACGAGATTTTTGTTCTCTCTCATCTGATTTAATAGTAACTAAACGTGTCAATTCTACAAGTTCAATACGTAAATTAGCCAAATCATAATTCATTTGATCTACTTGTTGTAAACTTTGACGTAGTTTAGTTTGTTCAAGTTCAGTAAGTTGACACTAAGATATCAAAAAAGAAGAGCAAAAAATGAATTAAAAAATAAATCTCTAATTAAAACTCCTTAATTAATTCATTTGCATTGTTAGGTATACTCTCAAAAATCAAATACCTGAATCGTATTTGAACGTTAAAATATTTTATGTTCATGAACTTGTATATTACAGCTCCAGTTCTAATATCTAATCGCTTAGCAGGGTTATTAGTAAACCAGCCTGATTACTTGTGAGTTTGCTTAAAACAAAAATAATTTGTCATTCATTGTTCATATTACTACGATTTGATTTGTGAGACCTAGTGATTCTTGTATCTAATGTTTGATAGCACATACATTGTTCATTAACACATTTAAGTAATGCATAGAATTTTGTGTTAGTGGATTACAGTTTGACTATTAAGTGATCAATTTAAACTGACACTTTATGAACACAAAATTTCATTGGCTGGAGAAAGTATTATTTGGGATTTAAGTGTCTACTTGGAACTTATACATACATCTTGCACAAATATATGCTTATCAAAACAACTGATACATGAGAACTAGTAGAGGTCGATCAACTAACAGGTAGAGAAAATACAAAGTGATAAATGTAAATAAAAATGAAGAAAATTTGTGTGAAATAGAGAGAATAAGAGCCGGAAAAGGACTTAAGGACTGTTGTACCAGATTCGAGGTTATTGTTATATCGTAAGAAAGAATATATCAATGGTAACTGCTAAGAATTATTTATGGACTATTATTTCATATATTATAAGTGGATAACCATTAAGTATATGTATATCCATATTTCTTTTATTATAAGGGTTCCATTTGACTTATTGACTACTATTATACGATTTCCTATTCTTAAGTTATTCCCAATTTATTAGTTACAGCCTTTCACAGACGATTTTGGCTTGATCTTGTATAATTGTTATTTTCTATTTTATGGAATGGTGCGATCTGATTTGCTTGTATATAAACTGCATATGTCTGAAATACATTATTCATACAGTGAAATCTGATATTGGTGTTCTGAACTCAAACGGACGGGGTTAGGCGAGAAGAACCGATAAGTACTCATAATTGACTCTAGGCTGCTCGTATTTTTAACGCGTCTTTGGCATGGCACAGCACCAAGGTCATATAGGTCGGTTTCTAATTGGAGATTTTACCACGTGATAATCAACAGGTCATAAGAACATAACAGTTATGACAAATTGTTTTGTGTGCACAAAGTATATTTGAATTTCTAATACCCAAGGCGTCTATAAGCTTTAGAATTTGTTCTTTGTAGTTTCTAAAAGACACTAAAAGATGTATTAGGACAGATTCGATGGCTTGTTACAGTTATGTGTTTTGCTATTGATGAACATGATTTTCATTTAAACACACATAATTAAACTAAAGAGTAGAATATTTCAAAAAACTTGTAGAATAACCACAATTTGACGGTGGCTAGGAGTGAAATATATGATGCTCCCTTCGTCCTATTTGGGACTTACCAGCTGGATGAACCTACATCCCAGTAGTTATCTGCACACCGGAACCCCATTTATTTCAGCCCATAACGTCAACAACATCAAACAACCAATTCAAAATGAACTAAAGTTTACCATGTTGCACAAGCCTGCGGCTAGCTTCACTCAGTAGTTAATTAGATAACAATTTGTGAATTTGATGCCAAATGTACTAGGTTCTAGACCTGAAGTAAACATCGACTATGAGATGCAGCTACATCTAGATGACGAGTCCCAAATAAGACGAAACTCGTGTCCATGATTCTACTGCTAGCCACCATATATCCCTGTTTAATATACTTCTGACTTAATGGTAATGTCAATGCAATTCTCAAAGTATTTACAAATGCTAAAACAGACTGATCAATTGAAGTTCACAAAATCAACGGAAGATTCAAATAACCAATACATTATGAACTTATAGATTTATTAAAATTCTTTCACAGAGAACTCTTTTCCAACAGATTCAATAGAAATTTAGCTACTGGTAATAGCAATCGGGTGATAATGTATACAACATATAGACCAGTCATGGATAATGGTTTATGCTTTACACAGTGGAAATTTATGAGTAAGTGTCAACCTGTGTTAATAATTCACTACTAGAAAGGATCAAGCAATACGAAAATGTAATTTCCAAGGAAAATCCAACTAAACACCCGTAAGACATAACACTGTCAGTGTATTCATAGAGCTTTTGACCAAAAAAAATAGACCAGTGACCTGTTGTTTACTAAAAGACAACGGTATTCAAGATCGACCAACTTAAGATAGAAAAAGATTCAAAACCAGAAAATAATTGACAGATTTTATGCCGTCTCCTAATGTATTCAGTTCTATGAGGTAATCATAATGGAATTAAACCAACTGGTATGATATTTACGGTTATATAAAGTGATTCAATGTCTGAATTTTATTTTACAATTTACCTGACTTATCAGCATTTCTTTAAGTTTCTTTATATCATTAATTAATTGAGTACGTTTCTTTAATAGTTGAGTATCTTGACCAGTTTGTTTCATAGCCAAACAATTCATATGCTTTTCAGAACATGTTTTCATTGTAAACTTAACAGATTCTTTTAATGCTTGTAGTATATTATCAGCTTTACGAGTTTTACGTATAAATGCTTCATGTAAACGTGTTTGATGATTGATACGATCTTTCAATTGTAAAAGTTCTTGTTTTAAATAGTCCATTTTTAAATCTGTTTCTGTTCTATTTTCAAACACAAAAGAACAAATAAGAAAGGGGAATTAAAAAACGATTCTGTTATTATTTCAGGTTCAGTCTTCATTAATGATACCAATCAAGTTTAAAATGGTAGTTTTATAATGAGGAAACAATTCTTTCATGTTTAAAGTTTTTTCAGCAGTTTATCTCTTTGTAGTAGCTTTCAAATAACAAAATAGTCAATATGTTTTGCATATTGTGTTGTGTATAACGTTGTTTTACACAACTATTTCGTTTTTGTTAAGTTTCCTAGTTCAATATCCGAAAAATATAAGTTGACTTGGAAATGCACATACAACTTTCCAACCACAATAAGATTGGGATTTCACTAGAATATTTTAATATTATAGCAGCTGAAAACGGTATTCATACTTCAAAACATCTGACAAACATTTCATATAGTTTGAATGATATGAATGATTATTAGTGGATTGTTCACCAAGCACTTAAATATACCATAAAACACTAATAATATCACAGTTTTTAAATTTTAACAAACTGCTATCGAAATAATTACATTTAGGCTGATTGATAACTGACTAATAACATGAGTTTTGTTCATATTTTTTTTCTATCATTGTTTCAATTAATTCATTGGGGTTGAATAAGTCCATCAATCTAAGCAGTTCAACGTCACATATATTGTGTTGCACAGCCCTACAAAATGTCGGGCTGGTCACGAATATCTCAATCTTAATGCCTGTGACCATAAAAACAGGCTTTGTATGTTTGAATCTTACATGGGATATCAGTTCTCTAATACTACAGATATTCTTCTTTAATGAGCTCCAACTAACACGAAACGTGGGTTCAGACCTTTATACTGCTAACATTCAGCCACCTAGTATGATGAAAAAGATAATTGCTTAAAAATAAACATCATATTACATTTTCAATGGTACCATGAAAGTAATTTTAATTTACTTTTGCAACGTCATTTCCGCATTTTTCTGTTCTAATTCAGAAACATGTATATTTACAGCTTCATGTTGCGCTTGTAAATCACATAGTTTCTTCTGTTTTTTAGTAGACTGACTACAGTAGAATAAAAAAAATTCATAAGGTGGTGTTAGAGCAGTAAACATCAAATAATCCGTGTTTATTGATAAGTGAATAATAGTTGTCTTAATTATTATCCGTGTCTCAAATTACTGAATCAGTTATCAAGTGGGTTTGTCCATCATTACATAATGAGAATCAGAAAACATTTGACAGTTAATCATTCACTAAACTGTCTATAAAAATAGAGGATAATTTATAATATTTCCTATACACTTTGTCTTTATGAATGGAGACCATTTCCAATTATACTGAATCATTCAAGAAATACTCAGATAAAAACAAGCTGACCAAAAAAATTTCATATAATGATAATGGCTTCTGAAAAATGTGTTAGTTCCATGCACCTAAACTGAATCACCATTGATTATTCTCCTTTTCTATAGAGATTTTGATAATTTAATTTAGAAACTGGAATAAATTTAAGGAATATATCTGAATAGTAATGAGTAAATAGCTGATACAGTATCCTCCTTAAGACTCGAAACTCTCCTATTTGATCCTGTGTGACTGTCAGTAAACGGGGTTGATAAGTCTTGAAATAAGACGATGTTAATGTTTAAAGATATGCTTTTTGAGATCCCCCAGGTTACATACAGTTAACAAAAGGGTTCGGTCGCTGATATCATCCTAAAATTTATTAATATTATATTTTTAAACGTAAGAATGACCTGTAACATTCTCTGTACCCTGAACGATTTCCTTAACTGTCGTTAATTGCTTAAGATGCGTTTTAAGTCAAATGAATGAGCGATTTTTTCATGATAATTAAATGAGCCAGAGGAATATCTAACGATTAAAAGTAGTAAGTAAGACATCTCATTAAAAGTTCATCCACAGTTAAAGTCTCCAATAAAACGTCAATTTTGAAAGTGACAGAATCATTGTATTGAATAGCAACTCATCGTAAGTAAATGCCTCCGACCCTTTAAAAACTTTCCATTAGTTAGGGCCTCTAACCAATTATGGAACGCAAGCTCTAAAAACACATTTAATGTGTGATTAAGCTCGATTGTATTTTTCGTAATGTCATCCATATGCGAACATACTTTATGCTGCTTCTCCGGCTATTCTCAATGAGTATGATGTTTTTAAAAATGAATTTTTTGTTTGATCAATTGTTTTAAAATAAAATCGCTTGTAATATGGTGTCTAGGATAGTATAATCATACTAGATAACAGATAAATAAAAAAGATTGACAAAATTTTAAAAACCAGTCAGTTTTCATGAAATCATAAATACCGCTTAACATTAATCAAATCAAATTTCAAATAATGACAAATTTACATTACTTTTGTAGTTTCACACTTTCTAATTCAAGTTGTAAACGAAGTGATTCTAGTGTTTTCATTTCATCTTGTAACTTCAACTGTTCATCTGACGTTTCGGTTTTTAAACGCTCTACTTCGCTTAAAATGAATCAAAATTACATATATGTTAATTGTCAATATAAATATTCAAAAGAAAGGGAAATGAAATATGAGATCAAAACCCATGAGTACCAGTATACTTTTCATAAGCATTACAAATGACATATCCCAGTCTCAAATGACCACATGTAGGACTGAGAATTTTACAATGACTGACAGTTGAGTGTTAAGTGATAGGATACTTGCCTAGTACTTAGAACTGATTGATCAAGTTGCAACATCGCAACGAATAAAAGTGAAGCAATACTTTGTCCATTTTTTCCTGATTTGAAGCGGCTTCAGAAAGTATCCAGGTATCTATAGACTTAAGCTTGTTGTTAACTGATATCAGTCTATGAATTGAATCGTTACCTTTTTATTGAACAACACTTAAATTAAGTTATGCGAATGTCATTTCCCTCTATCTTTTTGCGGCCACTCAATTTTCTAATATTTATTTAAAAGTCTAGCCATATGAGAAAACTTTAGAAATGAACTGTGTCGGTTGAATAATTCAGTTTAACAATTCAAGTATTGTATGCTTTTCCAAACAAGTGTATTTAAGTTTTCCTTTCTGTGAAAATTTAATTAGACGAGATTATTTAATCGTGTTTCATCCTCAACTGAAACAACCGAGATTAGGAAAATATGTTCAGCTGTCTCAACCAAATACGGCATTATCTGTATAATATCTTCTTCAATCACATTATTTATATTTCTGCTATTTCTAAAAAGAAATTTAATATTGTATGAATACCTTTACGATAAGTGAACAGAGACCAAAAAAGTAACAGGTTATTGGGATAAGCTTGAAACAATCGCTGAGGATTTCAAACGGCTGTGAGTCAGTTAAGAAAGTCTTTCTGTAAATGAGTAGTTTACAGAAAAGTTAAGAATTGTACAAATTTTACACAGTTAATAGATTTGTAGAAGCATTATAAATGTTGTTCTGCCTGTAAACAAAACATACAATATCTAATTTCAATTATGTATATATAGAATAACCCTAATAGACTTTTAAGAGTCCAAGCATTGTTGTTGGTTAGGATTTACAGATGGCATTAGGGTTTGTATTTTTGTTAGGGTTAGAGATTTAGACTTGATGATTTAGAATTATGATTTAAAAATATGTCCGTTTTATGTTTTAGGTACAATCAGCATAGAACCAATGCGGAATGTTATATGTATAACACTTTTTTTCGTGCGATAGCAATATTTCCTCATTTTAAACGCATTAAGGACGCCATGAGTGAACGTCTATTTCGTGTTCTACATAATATGAAGAAAACTTTAATGGTTTTGTAGTTTTTCTGGAAAAAACTCAATAGTTGTTTTCTTGTTACTGATTCATACGTCTAAATATTACTAATTTTAGTGATAGAAGGTTTAATTTTAAAATCAATAATTTTAGACAACAATTAAACAAAAAAAATAAACTACATACTCTTTTTGTTTTTGTAACTTATCAGTTTCTTTCATTGTTTGTAACAGTTGTGATTGAATTTCTGCACTTTCTGACTAAAATAAACAATACATTAACAAGATACTTTTATCAACGGGCTTAATTATTCTCAAATGTTATCAACTAAAAATGTTGGTTATGAAACATTTATTTGTGAAAGTTTGCCATAATCAATAAAACTATACATGCATACATCTGTCAGAAACACATACTATAGATGCATAGCTTTAATTGTTTCTCCTCACCTTATCATTATTATTGACCTTCAACAACTAAGACATTTTAAAAATAGACAGTAGCATTAAACTTTCAACTTTTGCTCAGAAAGACCATAACAAATTAGTTTTTCATCTATTGTTCATTGTGTCCACGTACAACTGTAGTGGCTAAAAAGGGTTGTAAAATATTACAATTGTCTTGCTTACGAAACCTCACAAATTTTTAAAATAACACATTTTGTTAAATGAATAATGGTACGAGAAAGTGTAATCATATGTACATGCATCCAGCATTCCTACGTTTTGGTCGAAACAATATGAAATTCCAAATGTTGTGAATATATTTTATTGTCAAAAAGCATCCAGTCGCTCTTAAATATTAACAGCAGTGTTACTCAGTGAGCAATGTATTTCCAGGAGTCGATAAGCAATTTAAAGCCATAATCTATATGTAATGATGAGTAGTAATAATCCGTTGTATAAACCGAGGCAGATAAAACAAGGATGGAATCTGCTAGATTCAAATAAACATTCTGAAAAATATATGGTTTCTTTATATAATATGCTAGTATAAGAAGACTACCTTAGTGACATTTTTCATAAGTTACTTTACCTAATTTTGGGAACGCATCACAGCAAAAACCATTCACTTGAGCTCCTAATTTTCTCTCATGACAAAAGAATAATATTTAAAGTTATGTTGTGACTAATGATGATTTTTATTCTACATATAGATAACTGTTAATTTACACCCACACTGATTCCGCTACATAAAAATAACTAGATATCATTGATAACTATGTGTTGGAAAGTACTTAAACAGCTTTATGAAAATAAAAAATTAATGATAATATTTGATAGTTTTTTATAGATGAAAGAAAATGTAATGATACGATCCTAACCACCAAATTTTGACATTGTTCTTCGACATCGTTCTTTAGTTTAGTTACTTGTCCTAACATCTCCTTCGTATCTTGCAATGTTTGTGTTAATTGTCGCGTTTCTCCAGATCGCTTATTTATTTCGCTTTTCACTTCGCTAACGGATTTTTCTAATTGTTTGCGCTGATTAATAACATCCTATTTCCAACAAAATTATCAAAAATAAATAAACACAGTTAGATGATAATACATTTTTAAAAAGCCTGGTCATACTGAAAATTTAATGATTACGACCATCGATCATGGATGCGCTTTGTTGCGGAGTCCCACACAAGGACGAAACAGCCGTTTAGTGCTTCTAGTTTTTTTAGTGGTTGTCTGACACTGATCAGTTCAAGACCTCAATGAAATTTAACTGTCTCTACAATCCCATACTCAAAAAGAATAGTTTGAGTTTTTAATAAGTTAAGGTAGAGTGGATTTGACAGAATTGCACTAACTTCTTCGTAAAATTCCAATAAATCATTCAAGCAGAGAAATACTTTCAAGTTTTAAGTTTTTTAATCATGACCTTTATTTATCAAACACCAAATACTGCAAGTTGAGAACAATATGTACATTAAATACTCTTATGAATCATGCTGTTTTACAGATTTCCTATTTAATCTATGGGATTTGGTTAGATTTCAGTAATCAATTAGTTTTATAAACGTATCTCTGTTTTAATTGTTTTACTACTTTGTTATGAAAGTTGATTGCATACGATTTACAAATTCTCTTACTGAGAAACAATTGAAGTCATTTGACACCTAACCAAGTTATTTCTTATAAAATGAAAAATATATGAAAAATAAAGTGCTTAGAGTATAACCCGTAATTTCACTCGATTTCAAATTTGTATAAACAGTGAGCAATTGACAGTTTTTATCTTCACTTCACCTAGCCCTACATGTCATAGAATAGAAGTCACATTTTGGATGAAGAGAAGTATGGAACAACCAAAAAATTGAATATTGTACAACAGTTTTAATGTACATATATAAGTCCCCTACTGTTTCATGCACTACATTGACAGCTAAAATGATAATACTATGACGATTTGACTACATGTTACATCTCTCTTATACCCATCATATTTGACAAGCTAAATGCCAGAAGGCTTGGCTCAAGTGCAAAATATTAGTTAGTGTAAGTGAGTGAATACTACCATGGGTCTAAATAAAATCTCTATTTATTTATCTTGTACTCTACCTTTTAATAAAGAGACATAACAACGACTATGTTATGAGCCAAACTCAATATGAAATATCAGTCTTCTGTTTTGATTAGTGGTAACACTCTTTCTCATTTTATGAAAGTTGGTAAATCGTGTCAGTTTATTTCACTCTAATATAATGACTCATCTAATGCCCCACAAGTCTATTTTCATCTCACCGTAAATGAATCCTACTGAGAACAAATGATTGAACTGTTTTAATTTTTTAATAAGAACTGTAATCATTTGTTATATTGAATATAGTTAACCACATATGAACTTTCGTTCCATGAGTTATTATCCACTTGTTAGCAAATATTCCAAAATCAAAATTTATCACGTCTCAAATGAAATCAATCAATTACCTCTTCTTTAGGCATACGATTATATTCATTTTCTAGCATACGTTTTTCATCTTTCAAGCTTTCTATGGTATAATTTAATTCTTCATTTCTTTCTTCAATTTGTAATAGACGATTATTTGCATTCAAGAGTTGTTCACGCAATTTATCTGCTTTTGTATTATAACCTTCAGGATAATTGTCAGCTTTTGATAATGATTCATTCAAACTATCTAGTTGAATGGACATTTTTTTAGATAGCTGTATTAAGTTGAATTCATTGTCTCTTATTCTGTTTGTTTCATTATTTGGGAAGAAATTATACGAAAAGTGATATAAGCTAACACAAACATAAATGTTAGTCAAAAGGAAACTCTGAACTCTTAATGTAACAAAGACGTTTAAGAGTTTAGAGGACCATGAATTAGTACTTTTACTGAATCGGTGACGAGTTCTTATCAGCGGACGTAAATCAGATCGCATCATTACTCAGTTCTGGAAGAACATTTACTTCCCACGTGTCAACGCAAATCAATCAATCAAGGTGTAATTTGAGAAAATGTGAAATAAAAAATTTCATGAACAGATAAAACGGCAAAAATATCGAGTAATTTGGCCGAAAAATTATTCAATGATAAGTTTGAGTGCATTTTTACTTGAAAAACAGCGTTATGTTTAAAAAACTAAACTTATACTGAGGCTAGCAGGAATATAAAACATTCAGTTATAATCTGAAGACTAGGGTTATTGTTTGGGTCAACTTAACAGATTTATGGTTATTAACAAGTTTAAGGATAAAATAATATCGCCCGTCGAATTATTTTAAATCTATGGAACACGCAATCTATAAGATTGCACAACAGTAAACATTCGACGGCTCATTGTTAATGTCCTAAAAATACTCTATTTAAAACCGTAACTTTGGATACTATATTTATCAAAGCCCGTAAATTTTTAGGTTTTTTCTTGGTCCACACAATGCGTTCTAGTCATCAGTTCTGAGATCTGAGAGGAAAACTTACTATTTTTGTTCGAAATCTGACAGGATTCTTCATTTTAAGATGATAATTCTAGTGAGAAATTAATTGCGTTTGATGCAAATATAGAACAGAGTTATGGCAAATTAATTCCGGCCCCATCTTGGTCTTCAACCTATTCATTTTTTAGACAAAAGTGTGAAATATAAAAATCAATACAGATAGAATGTCTTCTTGAACTATTTATTCCACAGAAGGATACTTCTTTTATTTGTAACTCGATAGTATTAAAACATTTCCAAAAGTCTTATAAAAATCACTAGAATCGCCAAATGGAATGGCACGGCAGGTACCCAAAAATTTGTTTATAAAAATTGAAGCAACACGCATTCTTTGGACTACACCAAGGGATCCGATAGATTCTTCATCTTGGTTCAGTAAGGAGGTTTCTACCCATCTACGTGAAAGCAAATGTTTTGGCGATAGATTTGGGTTATTGAGTGCAGACGAGAAAAATTCTCAATATCAGGAAGCCAAAACTATCCATATCTTGTCCCTATGAATGTTTAAAAGGTTGTACGGGAAATAGCTTGGGAAGGAGTCTATAGAATAACCTAGATGCTTATATTCCTGCATATATCAGACGACTAAAAAAAGAGAGAGCAGTCCAGTATTGTGAGGAGGGACAGTAGTAATACATCACTAATAGAATACCATTATGGTAAGGCTTAAGTATTCTCAAATCACTTGAGCAATATATGCACCATAGCATTGTTCCCCATTTGGTTCACCCTCAATAAACACTCTGAACATTGCGACCTTTAAAGAACTCCATGTCTTTGGTCTGTTAAGCAAACTTAACAAGGATAAATTTATGGGACTTGGTGAACGAATCTTAGATTGTAAAAGGGGCTAGCACATTTCATCATAAATACTTTAAATGCTATTTCAATCAATCTGTAACCTAAGGTTGATTACCAAAAGACTGAAAGAACATCATAGTAAGTCCTGTCTTCAAAACAGTCACGAGACAAAACCTGAGAACTATTGACCTAGAAACATAACCAGCGTTGTCGATAATATACCAGAAAAGATTATTTAGAAGTTGTTTAAGTTTGTCGACAAAATCCTGTTCTTTTTCTCAAAAACAGAATGGTTTTAAAACGGACTATTCATATCTCACTGACGTATTGAATGGACGTGAAAGTTGATTTGTTATTAAAAATTAAAAGCTACGCATAGAAGTTGTCTTCGTTGAGTTCAGTAAGGCCTTCAATAGAGTTCCATACAGCGGGCTGTTACCTAAGTTAATTGATGTCGAGATTGGAGGCAACTTACCCATAAGTATGGATAAATGATTTCCTAGTTGGGCGTTTGAAAAGCGCACGCATTAACTCCAAGTTGTCTAGCTGAAAAAACCATGTATCGCCATTGTTGTTTCTTGTGTGTGCAAATGACCTTACTAGTGTCACATCACTATCGGTTTTTTTCTAAGCTAATGTTATCAAGATATAGAGAGCAATAAAGAACGAATGTATGAAATTATAGCTTCAAAATAACCTGAAGAAATCATCTGAATGGTTTAAAATTTTACAACTGCCGATGAATGCAACCAAGAGCGTTACTGTGCATAATAATCACTAAAATGCAGATACATATACTGAGAGCGATTCTAAGCTACCTGTTTTCCCGAAACACAATGACCCAGAAGTTCATAAGCTTGGAACAAGTTATTTGTCCGCTGACTATAGACTTAACAGAAATTCTGCAGTGGTATTTCATATCTTCGTAACAAGATTAGATTATCCTGCAATAACAGTTACAGAAGTAACGACTGGATAAGATGAGTTGAGTATTAAAAACTGGGATACCCTACTCTAACTAAAGGTATTAAATCAATCAGTGGTCGGCTGCATGAAGCAGTTCAGTTCCCTTATATTGATATGGGTAACTGATAGATGCACATGATTCGAAATTATATTCTTGTGATTAAAATTCGAGCAGTCTTCACTAATAGGCTATTTGATCTGAGTAAACAATTTTTAGGCGATTTTCAACTTGGACGCGAAATTGATGATAAATTAAAACCTGGTCAAACATCAACTATCTGCAACAACGGTTTACGACAGTATGCTTTATGCAGCCTTGAAACTCTATTAAATATACATACTTCGAGAGAAGGCCACTAAGTTTGAAGAAACGATGCTTCATTTGAGCAATTTGAACACTGCTTAACTTTCCTTCATATCCTAACTTTTCTACTGAGTCGATTGCTGAAAAGAAACCTCCCGGTGACGAATCATCCTTAATGTCTTTGTTATGATCAGCCTGATTGCTTTCTGTCTCATCTGAAGCAACTAGAGGTTCATGAACCAAATTTGGTCTCGCAATAAGGAATCCGTCATCTGTTTCATCTATAACCAATATATATTTAAAATTATCAAACCATTTGGTTTTGAAGGCAGCTCTTCCGTTGAATGCTTGGGATCGTTCTCATAAGACATTTCAAAAATACTTCAATTTGGTACAAACAAATTGCCGCACGAAAGCTTGAGTGGTTGTCATGGCAATTATCAATGAAACTTTAGAGTAACTAACAAGTTATTTTTTCAAAAGACATTAATTCTGAATACCGATAATGATTTGTCAATGTACTTGGCAATTTTGTTTTAATAATTATGAATCACCTCAAGTTGGTTGTGGTCGGTCCAAATGAGGTTATCTTTTATAAAGAATTATCTGATTTTCGATATTTTAGTGTGGCAAATCATATATCTGCAACTTTCTTTCAGAAACTGTGGATCAGGTTGCTGGTGGATACCATCCAACCAGTGGTGTCAGGCATGTTCACTCCTTACCTGTTAAATAGTTGACTAATCACTAATAATAACCTATCTTTACAATGTAGAATATTAGAATATGAACAAAAAATCAAAATAAAAGGAAAAACCAGTAAAGTTGAAGTCGAGCTATGGGATGCAAGTGGAGATAGAAAGTAATTCTCTAATCATATTTGTGGTGGTCCCCATAGATATGAATCTTGCTGGCCAGCTATTTTCAGAGGATCTCATGGAGTAGTTTTTGTATATAACCCTGATAATCCTAATCACGCGAACGATTTACATAATTGGTAAGTTTTTCTTACTGACACTTTTTGTAGGTATCGAGCAGTGCCGCCTAGCCTGGGCTTGAGTAAACAGCAAATGTGCATCATTTGTCACAAAAAACCAGACACATCAAATCGGGACCAGGTTTCTCTGCGTAAGCCAAATATATGGAAAATCACCCATTACTTACAGCAGATGACCTGCATAAAATACTTCACCTGTTTTCAAATATACCGAAGGATGGGGAAAGACTCAGAGAACAGTTTGGAAAATTCGTGTCACATGTAGCATGGGGCAGGGTTGAGGCAAATGAACAAGAAGAGCTCAAGATAATGAATAGTTAGAGATGTGATCGGTTTTTAAACTTCTGCTTCATGACCACTACTATTTTGTTAACGCCACAAAAATAATGCTTACAAGATATTTTTCGGCCACGGTAGTTTGCATTTTGTTCCTAATTAACCTGGGTATTTACAAGGGCATTATTTTTTTCAAGTCAGTGTCGCTGGGATAAAATCATTCATGTTTTCTACATATCTATAGTACATGAGACAACTTAGTCACTGACTGTCCTTGTATAAGCAAACAGAAATTTATAAGGACGTTTTGTTTCGAAACGACACGTTAAAAGTAAACTAGAGGACATTCATATTCCGGACTATAGTAAAACCCAACGATCTAGTGTCTGAAGATGTGCGTCAGTTGGTGTATATCTTTATAACTGCCGCTGCTTCTCTGTCACAGTCTGCACACTCCCGTTATTCTGAAAATTATCTTCATATATAATAGGATATGTTGACCTAAATGATCCACAGATATTTCCGCACATCGATATTGATAAATGCATTCAACCTCACTCATTGTGCTTCCGCCCTTCATACGACTGAAAACGCTGAATCGTACTCAATGATGAGTCAAAAAATCGGGATGTGTATTTAGGTTTAGATCTAACGATTTGAAGACACTGAACCTTTATTAATTGAAGAATAAGAGATAACCTGGTAGTATTGTAAATGCCTAAGGGCATCCACTGAAGCACGTTGAGTCCTAACTAAAAATTCTAATGAAATACTCGGAATCTGTTAGTTCACTGAAGCTGGGTAGATTGTTGGGATATTTTTTCTATTGAACATGAATGTTCATCAGCATTTGAAATAAATTTTCCTTAAAGTCCTATAAAAAAAAAGGCCGTGATATTATTTTCAAATTCTTAGAATAGACTTTCATGTTGATTTGCTGGAACTGCTTTTAGTTCTTTACATATAACAATATCCTATTCTGTTCACAGTTTTTAAAATCCACTTATCACTCGCTCTGGTCTCAGCCATGTTTATGTTTTCTGATTGCTACCTAGCAATTCGTAAGATTGCGATAATCACATCTAAACATTCTCATAGGACTTCAGATTTGTCGTTATTTGATGAAAAAATCTATATTTTGTTTAATTGTGAATACCTGGCTTCTCTAAAAATTATTACTAAGTAATATATAAAACTTAGTGTTTACTGCCTGGGCGATTTAGTCCCTCTTTTAAAAGTTACTGTACTCAATTTTGCACTACAAATGGCCTACGTTAGTATTGAGCGGATAGTAAAAGGTCATAACCTGGAAACGAATTTTGTGTGATAAAATATAAAACTACTATGTAATTTTTACTTTTATTTCGCACTAAAAATTCTCGCTACATTTGTGGGACCCACAATATCTTTGGCTAAGTATTACTAGAGACTTTCAGGTCCAGATGAGTGATTATCATTAGGCACCTGAGAAATTCCAAGGATTAGTTCACCTGCTGGTTACAATGCCAGGGCTCAAAATTCTAATTTTACGGCCCTGTTTTTTCAGAGGCTATTGTTGTTGGCGTAAGTCATTGACTTTCAATTTCTAGTGTAATTGTTCTACATTGAAGCCCCATAAAACTTTTATGACATGAAGCAGTAATAAAAAGACAATTGGAATAAATAAGGGTTCCCGCCTACAAAACTGAATTAACCTATTATTGATGAAACCATTTAAAATTTAGGTTACGACTGGCCACGTGATAATTTGCTGCGTTTACAGATGTTATAAAATAGAAGACTAAATCTAAAGAATGAGATCAGCCCATCCCACTTTGAAGACTCTCTTCAGTTAGAGAAGTTTACATAAAACTTTTGAACTGAGTTTATATAGCTGTTGTTTTGCGAAAAAAACAAATGGTGAAGTTTGAAACGAAACAACTTAGATTACAATCATTCACTTCGAAAAACAATCTCTATAATGTTATCAAAGTATATTTCCGAAAACTAATGATGTCTGCAAAACCAACCTTAAATACAGGTTGATTATGTATCTTTGAGTATCCATTGTTGATTGTTTCGAACATATATTAGACGCAAGATAATGCCATAAAAAGGATAATTGACAGTTCCATCTTAGATTGAAAATAAGCTAACTTCACGTGTTTCAAACATTTCGAAGAAAACACTAATTTTACAATTAAATATGGAAATTTAGAAATATGGAAACATGATTATTATTGCAAGATGTATACTGGCCATCACTTACGGAATCAGTGAGTCATGAACGGCAATTTTATTAGATAGATTGTAGAATAAACGAAAATGCAACTATATTACAGGACACTATATAACCTATAATCTCCCGAATGATTACTTCTTAATTATAGACCTTTGATTTTCAAAGACCCTTATGTTAATTTAAAAGAATTTGGCCATCTAGTGGAAGGCTGTTTACATGTGTAAGACTTTTGATGCAGCCTAATTCCGATAAAAAACTTTAAGTATATTTCAACTACCTTGCCAAGTATATATCTATTCGCAAAGCTTATTTCCATAGTAAAACACTACTTTCACTCCTTAAATGTCAAGATGAAATAATATCAAATTATAACTGTACTAGTACTGAAAACCGTTCGTCTTCACTGTTGAACTTCCAGAATTTTCTCACTAGTTGAGCACCCACCCAAGTGGAATCATGATGTCCTATGTAGTAAGACAGATATATCTATCTATATATATAATTTTTTTAAATAGAATACTTTAGTTGAGATATCAGACTAAAATTAAAAGGTACAGGGTAAAACTTTCTATTCGGTTGGAAGCTTTGTTTGTTAACGTATATATTTTCTACATATTATAACCAATTCGTTGGATGCCGGCTCAGTGGTTAAGCGCTCGCGCGTGAGACTGATAGGTCCTGAGTTGGAATCTCGCGAGGTGGGGTCGTGGATGCGCACTTCTGAGGATTCCCACAATAGGACGAAACGGCCATCAATTACTTACAGGTTTTCCATGTTGGTCTAGCTTAAATTGTCTCATGATTTCAACTATATAAAAAAGTTCGTACTATAATCCAGTCATTAACGCTGGTAATTTTCGATATTAGGTTTAGCTACTTATAAGTAGTCATACCTTTACTCGACATTTGTGCCGAGACTTCATTTTTATAGTAAATACATCTCAGTAAAATAAAACATGGGTCGAGTTCTTCTCTAAAACTTATGTTTCTCTGGTAGACCCTAGCTCCAAATCACATCACAAGTCGTTAGAGTCTCATAAAAATAGGTTAACGTCTTATGATATGTATACGGGTTCGATTTTCTACATGTCTGATATTAGGGGCTACATCTGATCAGTATATTTTGGTATTTTTCCACCCCGGATGGATTATCTTGATATTACCACTAAACAAAAGACTGAGCAAATGCAGTCCCTAAATATCAACAACAAAGAAACTCAAACCAATACATATACATATCCATCGAACAAGTTGCCATATGAGCTCAGTAGCTTGAGCGATAACAAGATGGTGTTTGAAGAAAAAAAACGGAGAAGTATAGTGAGGCCAATAGTACGGAAGTTTGACTTTTTAAAATTTCGTATGAATGGTTTTCTTTTCTTTTTATAATACGGTTGGAAGACGCTTGAACTATTTTACCTGCTTTTATGTTATCCTATTTCTAAACTTCTATTTGATCTATCGTAGTCAGACGTCTTATAATTCCAGACATTTCACCAGTCGTTATTCCCCTGTTACTCTCTCTTATGACCAAGTTGTAAACCAATTGTAATTTACTAATCGTGTTGCTGTACGGTCAGACATTTCAGGTATGTTATTGTATGAGTTTCTAGTCATAAATGAATTGACTACAGTAAAGAACTGATCTGTTTTCTATTTTCCTTTTATATTTGAACACTAGGTTATAATGAGGTCGAGAATCAATAAGCGTTAAGCTTTTGGTTGTTGTTTACTGTTCGATTTGCCAAATAGTACTTAGGCTAGCAGTCTTAACGAATAAATAGCTAAACCAGTCGATAATCGGACTAGAGAGAGAGTGGTGATATAATTGCTTTCCTCCCATCATGACCAAATCACATTGGTCCAACACAAATTGATCAATCTGTTTCTCTTTCGACATAACACGCAGCCTTGTGTTCCTATGTGAACAGAGACACAGAGACACGTGCTTCTAGTTGACGAGTCAGGATTAGGACAAAACAAACGTCCTGGATTCTACTGGTGTCCACAATTCAATTTAATTCTGTGGTTAAATTTTTGAACTCGGTAGTTCGATAGGTTGATAAACCTGGTTTTTCTAAAGTAATAAACTAACGTTTAATATATATATATATATATATATATATATATAATACCAGAGTTTAGTAAAATCGCACTTTAATATCAAGACAAAAAATAATTTACTCTTTTTAAACTTTTCCACACTACAAAACATGAAAGTACAGTCTAGAAGTTCTATCAACTGTCTAACGAGAACACATTATTTGACAGACATGGAGAGAATCAATAGTTAGTGTTACCACACGTCTCAAACAAAGTTTTTTATGTTTTAGTCAACAAGTTTGGTATCGAAAGTTGATAGTTCAAGATTTCTTATGAAAATATTTCCCAGTTTTTGTAGGTAAGTTTTATTGGAATATAAAAGGTAAACTTAAATAGAACTGCTACTTTCTAGAGTTATTTTACATTATATCCGTATATAAATATATCACTTACACTAAAAAACATTTAGAATTTTCCATACAATTTTAGGTAGCTAATTTTCACATTGTTTCAAACCGTAACTAATTGTACATATTAGATGAAACTTATAATTTTTTTCACCCTTTAAAAGCTTCATTTTATTGATAGTTATCGAAATTCACAGCTATGGTTATTGTTACTAGATATAGAAAATTGTTTATTTACCATTAATCTTATATTTATTGGTTAGATTTCTGACAGAGTCATGGTGGCCCATTTGTGAAGATTTCCATACTACTATAAAACAAATATCTAGTGCTCCCTAGTTTTTACAGATTTTGCAGTTAGTACCGATACGTAATCAAAAATAACTTCAACTGAGAACTAATCTCCAAACTCTTATTTTGTTATTATCCCTATTTTTATTAAACTTAATTTACTCACAGGTAGGATCATATCGTATATTTCCACAAATTATTTCACAGATTGCCTGAATGTGAAAATGTCAAATATTAGGCGCCATTCCAGTAGTAAAATAATTAAGCGTTCATTGAACGGCCTGAAAGGTTTGGTTTCCATCCCTAGTAGTATCATGAGTCAATGTTGCTAGGGGGTCCCAGATTAGACAACACT